CTCTTCCACCCCTGTAGCTGATGAGACGGTGGATGTGACGGGCAGCGAGCCAGAGAGGGCGATCGGCGAGTACCAGGTGGCGCCGTACCCGGCAGCCAGCCCCGAAAACATCTACGAGACCTCAGCTCGTCTCCTCTTCATGGCTGTGAAATGGGCCAAGAACCTGCCCGTCTTCTCCAACCTGCCCTTCCGCGACCAGGTGGGGCTGGCAATCTCCATGAGGAATTGGGGATCTGCCTATGGGGCAACAGGAGCCTCAAAAAGTGTAGCAGCCTGTTGGGGTAGCTGGAGCATCTCCACACCATTCTTAGGGTTCCCCTGCAGATGCTAGTCAGGCCAACCAGATGTGGTGGCTACAGGTCCTGGAGACTTTGGGGGTGACAGAGCTTTTGGGGTTCCCTCCCACTCTCCCCAGGTGATCCTGCTGGAGGAAGCGTGGAGTGAGCTGTTCCTGCTCTGTGCCATCCAGTGGTCCATGCCTCTGGAGAGCTGCCCACTCCTGGCTGTCCCTGAGCCAACACCTGGGAAGCTGCTGCCGGCCACCCTGGACGTGCGGGCGCTGCAGGAGACCCTCGGCCGCTTCAAGGCATTGGCCGTTGACCCCACGGAATTTGCCTGCATGAAGGCCGTGGTGCTCTTCAAACCAGGTGAGGCCACCCCCAGCACCCACCACTGGCCATCCCTGTGGCCCTCCCCAGCTTGTCACCCCCTTGTCCCCACAGAGACACGTGGCCTGAAGGACCCTGAGCAGGTGGAGAACCTGCAGGACCAATCACAGGTGATGCTGGGCCAGCACAACCGTTCCCACTACCCTGGGCAACCAGTCAGGTACTGCTGTCCCCACGTCCTCACGGGTGATGCCAGGGTGGGACACCCACCCATGGCCGCCACTCCATCCCCCAGGTTTGGGAAGCTGCTGCTGCTGCTCCCAGCGCTGCGCTTCATCTCCTCGGAGCGTGTGGAGCTGCTCTTCTTCCGCCGCACCATCGGCAACACCCCTATGGAGAAGCTGCTGTGTGACATGTTCAAGAACTGAGTCCCCTTCCCGCTGTCACCTGGCTTGTCACCCTGTGCTGGCACCCTGCCACCCCCACCCTGGGCCTCCTCAGCCTGGGGTGGGAAGATGCCCATGGTCCCATCTCTGGGGCAATGTCCAGGACTGTGGAACGCTGCCGGCAGCTGGGAGGTGGGGCCACCTTCCCCGGCGGTGGAAGGGGGATGTCCCCAAGCGAGTGCCCAGTGCCCCGGCAGCACCTCACTGATGGTGTCCCAAACGCTGGAGGAACCCCGGCAAAGGCACCTTGGCACCACGAGGAGCTGCTGCCATCCAGGGGCCACCAGTCTGGGGGGACACTTGCCGAAGGATGATGCCAACCTGGGGCATGACATCAGCCAGGGATGACAAGGGCCAAGGGTGGTGCCAGCCTGGGAGTGACACCGGCCCAGGGGTGACACTTGCCAAAGGTGGTGCCACCTGGGGGTGCCACCAGCCGGGGACATCCTCGGGTTGATCCCAGCCCAGGGCTGACACTGGCCAGGGGTGACCCCAGCCTGGGGTGACATGCGGTGACAGACCCTTGCCCCTGTGTTCCGGGGTCTTCCACTTGTGTCCCCATTTTATACTTGGAATAAAGAGAGTTTTGCAGCCACAGTCCCTGTGCCAATGACTTGGGTCCCCTTGGATGGGGGGGACCAGCTGAATGTTAATAACCTCAACAGAAAGAAATAGTCTGAATGTAAATACCTTGAATATTACTTCCCTTGAATGGAAATAAACTATATATAAGTAAAATTAGTATAAATAATCTGAATTAAATAATCAATATAAGTAAGATAACTAGAAAAACAGGAATAAAAATAAAATGAAAATAAATAATCTGAAATTATCAGAATATAAAAAAGATAAATATAAATAAGCTGTTTAGAAATAATCTATTGGAAAGAATCTGAATTAAATAATTTTAACAGAAATATAATGGAACTAAATAAACTGAAATACTCTAAATAGAATTTAACTGAAAATAAACTATGTTAAGCTAAGTAGGTGAATATGAATAATCTGACTGTATAAAATGGGAATGAAATAGTACAAATACAAATAAAATGAAATTAAATAATCTTAATAGAAATAAAATGCATGCAAATTATTGGAATATAAATACCTGCTTTGAAATCTCCTTAATTAAATAATCTGAATAGAAAGAAAATAAAACGAAAACATCTGAAATAACATAAATAGAAATAAACTGCAAATAAACAAACTGTATATAAATAAGAGAAACGTAATAAATCTCACTGAAAGTCATCTGAATTAAATTACGTGGACAGAAATAAAATGAAATAATCTAAATAGAAATAAGTTGTAAATAAATCGTCTGAATATAAAGTCGACCTAAAACGAATCTGCATAGAAATAACCTGAAATACTCTGAATACAGAAGAATTGAAAAGAAATGATCTAAATATAAATGAAATATAAATTATCTGATTAAACTAATTAATATATAAATAATCTGTATATACATAAATAAAAATAATGTGAATAACAAGTAGGAGAAATAGAAATTCTCTGAACATAAATAAGGAGGATGTGAATAACCAGCATTAAACATCCCAAAGGGAAGTGATCTGGAGCTGCTCCATCCACGTGGGGATCGGGAAAATGCACACGCTCAGAACCCCAGGGAAGAAACGGAAGAAGCCCCAGACAGCCGGGATGTCCCCCTGGGAACTGCTGGCCTTTGCAGAATGACACTTTTATTTGTCCTTTTTTGTCAGTTTGTACACGGCTCCGAGCGCGGGCGACGCGGGGTAATAAATCCTCTTCCATACAGACTCTGTTTAGTTTACAAGCAGCGACTTTATAAATTACTTAGAAAACTTTCCATGAAAAATAACAGTAATTCCCCTCGCAGCCCTCCAGTAGTCAGTACATTCATCCCTCTGGAAAACCCTCTGGGACCCCAAATCCTGCCAGGGAAGGGCTGGGAAGGAGATGCCGGGGGAAGGGGCCCTGGAACAAACCATTGTCCCTCCAGTCCTGCTCAGCTCCTGCCAGAGCTGGATGCTATACATACATACATATAGATATATATGTATGTATATAGTTCTTTGACATATGTTTTTCTTTATACATATAACCACAGATATATTATATATATATAAAGAAACATATTTTCTATATATTCTATATATATTCCATAAATTTACCTATGTCAACAAGTCTATTTTCTTTACATATTTTCCCCATATTCCATACATTTTTATATATGTGAAGAAATACAGAGAAAATAGATTTCTTTATATATACTATATATTTCCTTTATATATTTCTTTACAGAGAAATACACTCTTTATATAAAGAAATATATAAATGTATGTGAAGAAACATATATAAATATACATATTAAACATATATTAAATATATGTTTAAATCATATAACATTAAATATGTTTCTACATAGATAAGAAATACATTAAAATATATATAAAGTAATAAATATTTTTTATATATAGTACATATCTCCTTTAAATATACATACTCCTTATATATAAATATATAAGCATATATACATAAAGAAGTATTCTTTATATATAGAATCTTATATATTTATATATAAATATGTACTATATATAAGAAATAGAAAATACATAAATGTATTTATTCTTAATATTCTTTTATGTATTTTTAATTATACAGATATCTATTCTTTTGTGTGTATATTTTCTTTATATATAGAATATATATATTATTATATATGTTCTTTATATATATAAATATCACTTAAATATATTTTCCTTATATAAAGATTAAATATATAAGGAAAATAAATATATTCCAAAAGAAATTAGATACATATATATATATATATATATACAGATATATACAGATATATACATATATACACACACATATATGTATATATATATGTATATATATGTGTATATATATGTGTGTATATATGTGTATATATATATCTATTTGCCCAAACCAGATCTGACGTCCCTGCTCTGATCCCACAGGGATGAGAAAACTGAGGATGAGGCTGGACCCTTCACTGGTCCCCAGGCTCTCCTCCCCTGGGGCCATTTTAAGGGCAGTTCAGGGGTTTTTCGTTCAGGAGGCTCAAAAGGCTGGTTTGGCACCAGGCACTCGGATGCTCCTGGCAATCCCAGCTCCCAGAGAATTTGGGGTGGCTTCCCAGGAGTTTCCTCTTTCATGGTCACCATCCGCATTCCCAGTGCATCTGGGTTGGTCCCCAAAGCCCTGTTTTTCCCTCTGGGGCTGGGAAAATCCCATTTTCCCCCATGGATGGGGGTGATTGACTCGGTCTTGCTCCACTCCCAGGATGCAGCACCGGGGCTGATGCTGTTCCCACTTTCCCTGTGGAATCTGTCACTTCACCCATTGGAAAAAAATTAAAGATAACATGAAAAAAAAGGTCAGATTTCAAATATCTAATAAAAAATAACCCAAATAAATAAAACATCCCTGGAATGGGTGGGGGACAGGGGACCGAGGAGCTTGGACAAACCCAGGCCTGCCGGGAAAAGACAAAATACTCAGGAAAACTCCACTTTTTTCTATTTTCCCCATTTTTGATGGCATTTAGGGAAAGGACAAGCCCCAGCCCAGCCCACCTGGGAGGACAGATCCAACCTTTATAAATCTAACTAGTGCCCTGGGACTCCTAATTTTGCCTTTCCAGAGGTTTTCTGGTACTCAGAGCTTCTCCAGGTGCCACCAAATGTGATGAGATGACCGGAGAGGGATTACAAGCTGAGTCATTAACAAGCATCGTTGATTAGTCCTATGATAGGTTATGATGGGCTAATTACACCTCCAGGGATTTCTTGCTGAAATTGAAACTCCATGTTTTATTGAGTGATGGCTGGTGACACCAGTGGTGACACCAAGGATGGCTCAGCCAATTGCTCCTCTCCTCTCCAGCCCAAAAATTATAATAATAATAATAATAATAACAACAGTAAAGAAAAAAAAAAAAAAAAAAGACATTCTGTCTGGGGAAAAATATTTTAAAAAGAAATTAAAAAAATATATATTTACAGGAAACTCCAGGAACCAGCATATAAACAAATATCGCTTCAAGTAGTCCTCGATTATTATTAATTATTATTATTTTTAATACTGATGGTCTCTGAAAAAAAAGAAGAGGGAAGGTGGATAGGTCTTGTTAAAAAATAAAAAAAACAAAGGGAAAAGGTGATTTTTGGCAGGTTTTAACACTTTTCCATGCACTCAGCGTTGGCGTGGATGAGGTGATTAAAGCAGGGAGGGCTTGGCTGCAGTGGAGCCGGCTCGGGATGCTCCCGTGGGATTCTTAGGCTTGGTTTGCTCCTACCAACAGGCGATGGTGATTCGGCACAAGGATTTGGCGGCGGATGCTCTGAGACGTGGGATGCTCCAAGGGGAAGGGCCAGGAGCCGGCCAGTGCCTCCCATCCCCGTCCACCCCCCGGCCACCTGAAGGTCTTAACCCCCATAAATCATTAAGGCTACCATTCAAACCCTCCCCTCCTGGCCTTTTAAACTAAGAATTCATCTCCTGGCGTTAGAGAGGAAGCCAGCAGAGCACTGCCAATGGGGAGGACGCCCCGGCGCGGATGTGGCCTTGGGGTGGAACATCTCAGACCATGAACTCGTTGCTCCCCAGGAGGACGAGGGGTTGGGCGGCGGCACAATCGGCCTCAGGGTTCCTCTTGCGTCCCCCTCCAGGCCCCCCGTCCGGGGGCTCTTTGGTTTTTGGGGGGGAAGTTTTCACACTCTTCAGTTTCTGTTTGCCTTTCTCCGGGTTGAAGGTCCCGCGTGTGGTGAACTGCGGCCGGTCCTCGGGGTACCGGAGAGGCCCCGCCAGGCCCTCAGGGCTCGCCCGGCTTTCGGGGGCCTCGCCGTGTCCCCCCACTCGGTAGAAAGGAGATTTGGAGTACATCTGGAAGCGCTTCCGGGGCAGGTGGGGCAAGCAGGAGGTGGATGACTGGGAGGAGGAGGAGGAGGAGACGGGGGTGTCACTTGGCTCTGCCGGCTCCAGCCGCATCCTGGGGTGCCGTCGCAGCCGGCTTGGCCCCTCGGCCTTGGCGGGGCGCAGGGAGGTAAGTGCTACACTTCTCTCTGCAGGGGCAGAAGGACCACGGATGGTCAATACACTGACACCACCCAGAATCCAACCACCCTGCTCCCTGGGGACACGTCATTGAAACCAAGAGACATTCCCAGCATCTCAGTGGGGGCAGCATCAGCCCAGATGATGCTGCAGTGCTGGAAGAATTTTCACCTCCTTACCAACGCTAGCTGCTGCCACCCATCCCCCCAGGGCCACGTGCTTGAACCCTTAACCCCCTCTCTGCACACATTTAAACTGTCAACTTAAAATAAACTTGAAAATCCCAAATAACCCTACCCAAAGTGACAGAAAAGCATGGTGGGAGGTGTGCCTGCCCATGGCAGGGAGATGGACTTCTTGATCTTTGAAGGTCCCTTCCAACCCAAACCGCTCCATCATAAACCCAAGAACACCTGGATTTACCCGAGCGATCGGAGATGGCTCCTTCGGAGTCGAAGTTCAGATTTTCGGAGCTGTCAGCTGTGCCAATGGAGGCTTCGGACTCCAGGGTTTCGTCGTCGGAGGCACGGGGCTCCAGTGTCAGCATCTCGAATGTCAGCTCCTCCCTGCAAAGCCAACCCAGCCCCATTGACCCAACGGGGCCAAAAACAGGAGAGAAGAAAGGGATGCACCGAGAGATCACAGAGGGGTGGAGTTGCGTGATGTCAAGCAACATCCAGAGGCTGGGGACGCGGCTTGAACCCTCGGCCAGACTCACTTTTCCTTCTGCAGGCTCTCGATCTGCTCAGTCAGCACCTTCTCCTCCTGCTGCATGGCCACCTGCTGCTGCTCTGTCACCTCCATCTCCATGGCCTCCTCGCTGCTCATGGTGTCCTCAGGGATGTCGGTCACTGAGGGCAGGCGCCCGGTGACAGGGGATGCGGGGCTGGGGAAGGTGCCGCGCCGCACGCGTCCTTTGCCCTGAAGAGAGACAACGGTGTCACCACCAGCAGCCAAGGTGATGTGGCAAACACTCAGGTACAGACCATACTGCTCTCCCAAGGAGTGAAGAAGAAGGCCCAGATATCGGTCCTCAGTGTGCCGCTGCCGGATGCACCCCGGACCCTCCAAAACCTCAGGCTGGGAGAAGTACCAGAAGGACTCAACATGATGGAGGGGCTGGGGATGGAGGCTGTGAGGAAGGCAGTGGTGAGGATGATGCTGATGAACCAAGTGCAACTTGGTCCAGGTCCAAGCAAGCCCCGCTGGCAGCAGGATGGATTCCCACAAAGCCCACAGCCTGTGTGATGGGAAGCTTGATGGTGGCTTTGAGTGGGAGCATCATCAAGGCTTTGATTTCAGGGAATCCAGCTCTCATTTTATCATTGGATCAAGTCTCACATCCTTCCCTCATCCACCCCTGGTATTTCCTGAGCATAACAAGGGTCTCACTGACCCCTTCAGCAAACATGAACTCCCAGCTAATGACGTTGTCCATGCCCTGCCATGTCTCATGTACAGGAGATCCAGAAACCAGGACCACCTCCAGTGGTCCACTGTAAGACAATCAATGTGGATGTCCGTGCCCACAGTTGAACTCGCTCTGATCTAATGCAGCTCTGAAGAACTATCTCATTTTTTTAATACTGAAACTGAAAATGGAAAAGGATGCATGTGGTGGTACAGGTGAAGAGATATACATGCAAGTGTTTTAACCTTCTGAAGACCAGCTCTACAGATCTGCTCCATGGAGCAGAAGAAAAGGGATTCTTGGAGATGAGGGACATGGCAGAGATTAAACGGCTTTTATCTTAACCGTTATCATTGTTGCCATTTGGTTAAATAAACTGTATTAGTTAGCATTAGTTTGACATTAGTAGTAGTTATGCTAAGGCTTGGTAGGCCACATGTAACCTGCAGATGAACTATATGGCAGATATTGCAATGTAAGCAGTGTAACTAGGAGATAATCTAGGAATGTACTTTTTGGCAAAACTTAAATGTCAGAGAGATAATCGTACCAGGTAGTGAAAGAGAATTAAGAAATTATGATGATGAAGAAATCGTGTAGAAAACATATAAAAACCCTGTGATTTTTCTGTGAAATGGGGCTCTGTCTTTGGACGCTAGTCCACAGGCTCCCGGGCCCTCAATAAAGCACCGCATAAACGACTTCGGTTGTTTGTGTTTTCTTCGGATCGGGCAACATCATGACCAGACATCTCGTCTACATCCCAGATCCTGACATGACTAGAACTAGGAGATGTCCATCACTTGCTGCCCTCCCTTGATGACCATCACCCAGGAAGAATGTTCATCTCCTTGGGGTTGAAGAGCTTGTTGCAGCTCAGTTTTGCTCCTCCTATTCAACCCCTGCAACTGTAGCATTCCTGGGTCTTCCTGACAACCCATGTGCCCAGAGCAGATTTTCAGGATAAAGGATCCTTCCTCCTTTCCTTTAAAAGCCAGATTTCCTCCATTTTAGCCCTTTCATCTTTTAATGCCACATCTCAGAGATCCCTCTTTGTCAGCAAAGCCTCTGCTGTGCCTGGTGTTCTTCTGGATGACACTTTTCATGTGGCCTGCTGAGCTAAAGCACAGCTCCCTGAATCCTATTAGCCAAGAGCCCCAAGATCCCAAAGATTCCACTGGCTTGTGGACTTAAGCCCCTGAGAAATTCCATGCTCAGGTGAGCAGAGCTCAAATTTTGCTCTTTTCCACCTCCTGACACTCATGGACGTGGAAGAATGGGGGGAACCTGAGGGAACTTTCAACATGGGCTGAGCCTATTAGGAAAGGAAACAGCCCTATCAGCATTCCCAATTTCCTGCAGGTGCTTTTCTTGCTTGTCAGGATCTCCCAGAACTCAAACTCAAGCTGGAATGGAGTTGGGGAATACAGGGCTTGCTGGTCTCTTCCTCATTCAAACCTGGGTGTCCTGAGCTTGTATTCAGGGTGGTGGTGCTCCTCCTCCAAGGAGAAGGAGACCTTCAGATGCCTTGTGATCTCCAAGGCATCCAAGCTGAGGGTTTTATTCACCATCTTCAGAAACAGCAGCGCTGTGAAAGCAACTTGATGCTGAAATGCATCCTGAGCGAGGAGAAACTGAGGTAGGAAGGGAAGGGATGAGTCAAGCAAAGTAAAAAAGAGGGAAGCACAGGATGGAAAAAGGAAATAAAATAGAAAATTAAAGTAAGTAGGAAGGGAAAAGGGCTGGGAAGCGTATTTCTGAGGAGCTGCGTGCAGGGATGGCCGAGCGCCAGCCCCAAACTCCTGTGCCCTGCTGGAGGAACGGCGGCTCCGAGGAGGAGCGGCGGGACCGGGCAGGTCACAGACAATGGCCGGTGGGACAGAGCTGGAATGAGCAACGGTGACACACAACGAGGGACGCGGCAGCTGCCGTTGATACATACCGGGATTGAACTGCGGGTTATGCTCATAAATCTAACTGCAATTAGTACGGGCTTCTGGATTAGAGAGGAGATGAAAAGGAAAGCAGAAGGTTAGAGTGCACATGCCGCCGCCCCTCCAAAAACCCGCTTTGCTCAGTTTGAGGTTTTTTCGGTTAACTGAGATGAGTGGGGCAGCTCTGCAACACCAGCTCCACAATCTTGGGCAGCCCCTGCTTGGATTTCATCCTCAAAAAGCAGAAGCAACGTGCTCCTGAGGATCACAGGGGGCAGGTCCAAGCAGAGGGGCAGCTCAGCTCCTCAGCCCAAGCCTGTGCTGTGCCAGGTCCATCCCTCTCCCGCAGCCCAACAAGCCAAGCACAGGGGCATCTGCAGCCTGCCAGCCCCCTGCAAGCATGGAAGCTCAATGAGATGGGTTTGAGGCTCCCAAAAAGGCAGTGCGGGAGCAGGGAGAGCCTTTGGGGAGCTCATTTTGGGTTCAGATAATGTGACTGAGCACAAAAAACAATGGTCCAGGTCACCCATGGGGTGATGTTGAGCTGGTCGCTGAAAGGCTTGACTCAACTCAGGACCAAACAAGCTCAAATGAAGGTGGACATGCTGATCAGGAACATCTGAGCAGGAGTGACAACATTTCCATGGACTGTTCCCACCTCCTTGTGCTTTGGTATGACTCCCTGAGGAGCCACCATGGAGCTGAGGGTCCCTGTCCTGGTGGAGATGGTGTGGGAGTTTGCGAGAGGTTTGGGAGGCTGGGATAAGCAGGAGAAGATAAGGTGGGGTGGCTTCAGCGGCAAGAAGACAGGAGGGGACAAAGAGGGCTTTGGCATCTCACCATAGATCGGCGGATCAAGGAGAGGCGGCTCTTGGCTTTGTTCTCTGCGAACTCCAGGCTGTTGATGTCCTTGAGACGAGCCTTGTACTTGTTCATCTGCTCGATGACAATTAATTCCACGCAACTAAGGGAGAAAAAAACCCAAAAGAAGACAAAATGGGAGGAGGAAGCTGCTCTGTCTTGTCTTGGCTCGTCCTTTAACAGGATCTCCTGGTAGCTTCTCCCTCAGTTCCAGTGCATCTTCTCATTTTATTACAAGGGAAAATTTAATTTGGAGATCTGCCCTGATGAAAGAACACAGAGGAGAAAGCTCCAGCTGGATGCCAGAGGGTGGTGAGAATTCTCCTAAAAAGAGTGATCACGGGCTAGGGATGGACTGAGGAACAGATACTAAAGATCACCAAGGATCCCACCATTTAGAGAAATTCACCCCCCATGGAAAAGGGAGTAGTGGAATAAACCTGGAGAAGGCAGGCTTATTCCAGCTCACACAGTAACTGTGCAGCAGCTCGTGTAACTGAGCCAACTGTTTAATGTTGTCAGGAGGGTGTTAGGGGAAAATAATATTCCTTTCCTCGTAACAAAATGAGAGGATGTGCTGGAGCTGAAGAGTGAGTAGCTACAATGAAATCCTGTTAAAGGACAGGTGTTCCTGCCAGCTGGGTCTCCAAAAATGTCCTGGTCTTCAACAATTTTAATACTTACTGGAGGTAAAATCACCTCTTTCAGAAACCCAGCCCTTCACTGGAGGGTTTTCATTATTATAATTGACTCCAGCATCTATTTTAAAACCTATTTAGTAAGAGCCAAACTGAATCTGGGCTAGTGCTTCACTTTTTCTCTGTAAAACCTTTTCAATTATGACAAACACCATAAATAAATCTAAGTACTGTCATATTACTCTTGCTGCGGACCAAACAACTCACCTCCTTCAGTAAAAAAGCCAAAATCAAGTGAGAATCAAGACCTGCTTGCCAAAAATGAACTACATTAACTATAAACCATGTCAGCACTAGCTCCACCTTTTCCTGCCAGGCAGGAACAGAAGCTTATCCACTCTTGGGGATCCTCCATCACTTAAAAATCCTCATTTAACAACCTCTTGGGGACCGAGAGAATTTGAAATATCTTCACGCAGATGCATTTATTTGCATTTAGATGAATAAATGACTATGTGTTTATCACTTTATGCCAAAGCTCTCCATTTATGAGCCATTTAACCATCTTAGGTTTTAGCAAGATGCGAACAGTGATGTGGTGGAGCTGGCTCACCCAGCCCCAGGTTCTTACGTGGTGGTTTTGCTGATGTCCTGAACACTCTGTAGTGGGTCTGTTGTGTCGGGGCAGCGCAGGATGCAGGGAGCAAACACAATGGCCAAGGCGTTGGCTGACATGCGGTTGGTCTCTTCTTGGAGGGCAATCCTGAAAAAATAGGGATTAAGAGAGAAGTCAGAGGTGGAGGCACCTCCACTGCACCTCTTGCACATGGTCATGGATGAAGAGAGGAGATATGTCTATGGTGCAATCTTGCTTTGAGGGAGAAAGACTAACCTCAAGACATCTTAGATATTCCCAAGGCAACAACCAGCCTTTTCCACCCAAAAACCTGTCCCTGCAGTGGTGAGAGGCACCACAGAGCTGTAGGAACCACAAGTGTCCAGAGCACAGCAGAGGCCATTCATCAACACATCTCCTGGAGAAGCAGCTCTGTGGCCACCTCCTGGGAGACATGGCAGATGCAAAAGGCTCAGCTATTTTGGTGGGAAGGATGCCTGACCATCCTGCCTCTGCCTAAAGCTGCCCAGGCCCAGCATACCTGACCAGGTGGAAGATGAGGCGCTCCAGGGTGCTGAGGTGGGTGCGGGAGAGCTGGTCGATGACTGAGTACACCCCACGCACTGTCTCCTTCCTCTCCTGGAGGCCTGTGGAGAAACCACCAGTGTTTAGGGGCACCTTCTACTTCTTCCTCCTATTTAAAATGGTACCTCTTAATTTTACTACTTAAAAGATGGAATTTTGGGGCTGAAATTAACTGAACCATGATGCAAAAGCTGCCAAATTAAGACCAAATTGCCTGAGGTTTTGCATAAAAAAACCCTTTATAGCCAAAAAACCAGACTTTGAAACCAGGTGAATACAATTTGGCAAAACCAGCTAGTTAGGCCTCAAAGAAAAGTTTGGCACTGAAAGTGGCCACTATCTCCCTCCACCAGGGGAATGAGATACTGAGGGAAGCTCCTCACCCATCACCCGCAGGAACTCCTCGTAGAGCTCAAAGGTCATGAGGGGGTTGGGCAGATCTCGGAGCCACTGCTTGAACACGCTGGCAATGACGTGGATGTTGTAGTCATCTAAATTCACGTTATCAATGTCTGAGTTCGGCACCAGATGAAGCAAGAAGGAAAAGAATGAGAGACGATGATCAATGCGAAGCCCAAGGCTGCACAAGGTGACCTTTAAAGGTCCCTTCCAACCCAAACTGTTCTATCATAAAGTACTCTAAAATAAAAAATGTTTACGTGCCTTTAATGGCAAAAAATTCAGCACCAGATTTCAGCTCCACATGGTAAAATTAGAGAGAAATATATTTTTCAGGGCAAATAACTTCAGGTGGGACCAGGATTTCTTTTCTCACTGATTGCTAGGGTGTAAGTAAGGCAGCACTTTCCCTCAATTAGAATGACTTTTTTTCTGTGGATTGCTCCCAAAAAACCATGAGTTGATGACCTGAGTTATGGCTGCTAATGTGAAATAATTCCTTGCACAGCCCAGAGTCACGAATGCTGAAGCATTCCACCTTCCTCCCATCCAACTTTGCTGCTGCAGAGATTTTCCTCCCCATGTAGAATCTTTTCCCCACTCCTCTTACCTGTATCAAGGCCTTGCCGGAGCTCCTTGATCTTGTTGGTGGATCCTGATTTCCTGTAGATGCCCTCTGTGTACAGCCCATGCATTTCGATGTAGTTGATGAGTTTCTCCACCAGCAGTGGCACCGCCCGTTCCTCACTGGTCAGCCGGGACAGCTCCACGCCGAACTGCCGCGGTGAGAGCTCAGGGTCGTGCTGCACAGGAAAAGGGAAAAAGGGATTAAAATCCTTCTGTGATGCAATGCTGGGGCAGCTTTGGACCCGATTATTCAGAGTCCTTCAGCTGATCCAGGAGATGTGTGAGTCTAAGGAAGGAGGACAGGACAGGACACAGACTTTGCAATGCTAACCTGGTCTCTGGACATGCACCTGAAGGCAAAAAGTTTGGATTTTCTTTCTTTCTTTAACTACCCCACATATTCCCAGCCTGACTGAGCCAACACACCAGGGCATGGTCCTCCTCTACCTCCTGCCCCTCTGGCACCATCGCCAAGGATGATTTCACCTCCCAAAGATGCACGAAGCAGAATAGGCAAATCTGAATCTTGGGTGCTTAGATCAACTCGAAGCACTGACAGTTACAAAATACCAGTGAACAAACAAGATGCCAAAAAAAGAACATGAAAAGACCCATCTACACCTGTCAGGAAGGACCCTTCTGCCAGCTGCAAACACTCACTGGAGAGTTGGTATCTGGTAAATTCAAATGTGAAGAAAGTCCTCCTGCACAGGAGATACTGGATGGGAAAAGTCAAAAGTTCCACTAAAATAATGCCCCAAATTCTCATCCCTAGCCAAAGAAAGGTGAGATGCAACTCCACCATCAGCAAGGCAGTGCCTCCCTTCACAGTCCTGCATTTTTCTTCTTCCCACTCAATGTCATTCTTTCATTGATCCTGCAAACCTTAGGAGCAGATGTGTGGAAGGTTCCTGTGTTGTTTCTTTCTCATGACTGATGGTTTGTAGCTCCCTGTCACTGAGAACAACCCTAAAAACACAAATTCACCACGCACAGAGAAACTGGAGCCTTCCTAGAGAACTTCTAACTGCCCAGTGCAAAGCTGCCCATGAAGACATAGTGAACTCACTTCCTTGGGTGCAGCACAAAACCTTCCTTGTGCAGAGAAATCACAATAAAGAAGGTGGCTCCAAGAATATTCTAAAAAATTAATCAGGGATCTCAAGGAACTTCCCAGATTTTAGAGAACAAACTCCTATGAGGCATTCCCAGCTCTTGCAGAGATAATGCCAGAAAGGGAAAGAGTGCAGCAAAAATTCTATATATATTCAAAATACAAATATAGTCATACACACACACACACACACACACATCTTCAATGTACATTTTCAGATTATTCCTTGGGAATAATGGACTCATGCAGCCTTCTGGGGGCTGTGTAGTGTGGAGGCTGTTCTCCCCTGAGAAGCCTCCCAGGGAGCTGATAAAACTTTCCACTCATTATCATCCTGACTCTATTTCCTTCTTTTGGGCAGAAAATAAGCTATTTAAAAAAACCCCACTGAATCTTGATGCTTGATTGTTAGATGGGATAACCTGCTCCACTCATTCCCTGTTCCTCATACCCTTAAATCCAGTAAACAATATTCAATTCCCCTCTAAAGAGGGCAGTGAACATCTTCCACCTGCCCTTCCTGGCACAGCAAGCAAAGACTGTCAGTGTGAGAAAAACTCTGTATTTCCAAGAATAACCCCACATTTCCAAATCATTAAAAGCTACAAAGCTAGGGAAATTCCTATTATTCTGTGTGGTTACAAGGCAGGGAGTGACACTGCAACATCTGCTGCATGACTGGACAGATCTACAGTGACTCATCACCGCGTAGTTCCCAAAATATCTACAAAACTGTGGCTGGAGAGACCTCTGGGGATCTCTGTCTAAGCTCCTGCTGAAAGGAGGGTTATTTCCAGCATTCTATCCAGCTTTGCACCTCCAATAATTTTTATACAAACTTGGGACCTTTGTCTCAAGGCATTTAATGAAAGCAAAGCAATGAGAGACATTTACCTTTTTGGAGCACTTGGTCGTGGTTTTAAGACAGCACTTCTTGTGACAAGCATATTTACATACTGCAATGGAGAAAAGGAGTGTTTAATTATCCCAAAAGTCCCATTACTGGAGAAACAGTAATTCATATGAATTGAGTAGCACTTCTCAGAACTACCAAGTCAAAAGCATGTTGGATTTGCAGTTTCCAGGGGCCAAGGCTGCGTTAGATCCACTCAAATAAAAATAATTAAGCCTTTAAAATGGAAGGTGCCATATGTACATCTGTGAAACATTAAAACCTCCCCCAACCCCAACAGATCAACTCAGATTATAATCCATGAGTTGCTCCAAGATATTGGACACAGATACACCCTGAGACTGGAAATGGCACCTCCTCTGTGTTCTTCTTGCACTGAAATGCTCTGGGGCTGATGCTGTCAACTGAATCACAGAAATGGAGGAGGGATGATGGAAAAGGTTGATCCATCTCTTGAGATTTTCCAAAGAGATGGATCAGGCTTTTCCATCATCCTCCCTCCTCCGTTTTCCTGATCTCCTCAAAAATTCACATGCCTGGAGGTCAAACAGGCGAAGCCAGTGGGTTTGCCAAGTCAGGATCCCCACATGCATCCTTGGGATATATTTCCATACCTGACTTTACCATCCTTCCTACCATGACAGATAAATGGGATGGCCACACAACCTGATGGGGTAAGATGTGGAACACCAAGTTCATTAACTGTGCCAGGAAGGACTGCTAGGATGGACTTATTAGTTGACTTCAGAAAACTTAAGACCTGTCCCTAAAGCTCTTCAGGTGTTACAAAAATCAAAATTATTTGAGCATGGGGTTGGGGGAAACAGCAGTAAACACATTTCAAAATCCCCAAACTCGTCACTGTGACAGAAGCACAAGAAAAGGATCTAAGAAAGGGTGGGTGCTTACATTTACAAACAGAAGCCCTGTCCATGATCCAGATCAAGGAGGAACAATATTCACAGTATGTGGGGATGCTGTATTGGGTCGCCTTGAAAATGTGACCATTGTGCTCTTCCACCTGCAGGAAAAAGTTTGGGTGGTGAGAAAAGGGAGCTAGTGTTTGCCTGCTGAAAAATGGAAAGATGGAAACAGTCAGCTCCTCAACTTTAGTTCTTGTTTTCATTTGGTATTTCTGTTTCTTTTTGAGCCCAGCAACCCCATAGACAACCCAAACCAACATCCATCTTGTAGGGGGTGGTCATCATGGAAGCAGGTTGGAAACTCTTTCACTGAGCTTGGCAGGTCAACTTCTTCATGTTAAGCAGATTTTCTATGCATCTGTGGCCCCTTTTTCTGGCTCTGCACCTGTACCCTACCTAGTACCCTTAGGAAAATGGGAGATGTAATGTCCTCCATGTCTGATTCTGGAGATGTAAAACACACACTATAAACTTCTGCAGAAAGCTGGAGCAAGACTTTATTTTGCTCTCAGCCCTTTTCTAACAACCATGGACATTACATCTATGTCTTGGCTGATGAGGGACGTGTTTTCAGAGCCAACCCAAGTGATCCTTGATCATGCAGAGCAAATCCACCTTAAACGTCTTTTTCACACATCCTTTCAGGGCTGATGTTCAGATCTCAGCCCAGGATGTGTCATAAGCTGGTCTCTTGACATTCTGGCCCCAAGGACATTGATTTTTTTAATGTGCAGGCTTAACTCACCACATCTGCTTCCTTTTTCCTTCTCTTCTTTCGTTCTGTTTTTGGCACCTGGTGAGGGAAAGAGATCTAACTCAATTTTTGGGCAATTCTGACAGGTGAAGATACAGAGGGCTCATATCTAACATTGTCCAGTGCCTTCCAGCCCCATCCTCCAGTGCACCTGCAGCCTCAGAAGAGTCACTCTAGAAAACTCTCCTATGGATCATTCCAGTTTTGGTATTTCCCTGGACAGCTCCTCTTATCTTCATCTTGGACCTGGGAATAGCTGCTGCTCCAGCTCTGACCCCACCAGCAGTGACCAACAAGGAACATGATATTCAGCCTGCTCTGAAGAAAACCTGCCTGCAGAGGAGGCTGGAGAGGACTTGGAGCAGAAGAGCCAGGAGATGGGGTATTTGTACAATAGACACCATCTCCCAAGCCCAGCCTCACAGACAATACAGAGCAGGGAGTGAGATCAGGTCTGTGACACAGTGCAGGCTCTTACTGCTCTAAGAATGGTACCCAGACCTGAGCCACTGCCTGCATCCCCTTCTCCTGCAACCCAATCCATGGTGGTGTGTATGGTCACCTGGGAAGTGGTCAGGAGACCTGAGAGGGATCTCTTTCAGCATCCCTCAAAGTTTGAAAAAATCCCCCAAGACTGAAGAAGCACCAGGAGCTGCCTTTCCAACCATCCACAGTTGGTTGCAGCTTTGCCTGGGAGATAACATCTAATCCCTGGCATTGGCCAAGCCCAGCTCAGCCTGGTGTGATCTGGTTGGCTGAGCCCAGTGACACACAACCAGTGAGTCACACCTTGCCTTGTCCAGCTCAGCTCAAAGCAGAGAAGACAACGGAGGGTCCCAGGCATCTACAGAGACACAACCCAAAGACAGTTCCCAAACCTTCAAGGGGGGTTAGGAAAAGTGCTGAGTACCTTCCCTGCGGTGTAGTCCAGGGGTTTGTACTCTATCATATATTCATCCAGGAAGACTTTGAAGGTATTGACCCAGACTTTAACTGGAGACTCACTCCAGTCCCTCTGCTCAAGCCTCATGGTCTTCTCCAGAATCTGCTCAAATAAGGCGTAGAGGTCCTTGTAGCGGATGCTCTTCCCATCGTCCATCTTTTAAGCAAACAGAAGCAAAAAGAAAAGTGATTTTTATACAGCCCAGATTTTTCTGGAGACTTTTTCTTCTCCAGACAATTACTTCAGCCACACTGGCTTCCAGCTGCTTGAGGAAAGTCCAAGTACAATAAAGAGAAGGAAAAAAGAACCAGACATCACAACTAGCAAAGGTAACAAAGGTTTCCAGGCACTTCGAGTGACAAATTGGAGTTGATGGACTTTCTGTCATCTCCTCTTTGGTTGGGAGCAAAGCTGCAATGAGGATCAGAAATCATCACCGAGTATATGCTGAGAGCTGGCCCACGAGGAAGAGTTAGTCCAAATTCAGATCATGGGACTGAATACAAAGGAAGCACATCCATCCTTTGGGATAAGCAAACCAGAAATGGAGGGCCTGGCAACACCTGTACCACCAGGAGGACCCAGAATATCCTGTTTCTCCTGGAGGTGGAAGTCTCACCCATCATCTGGTCACTTACCGCCAATGCTGAGGAGTAAAAACTGAAGATGTTTTGTCGGAATTCCTTCAGTGCTTTCTTGAACACGACATCCACCAGCGTGTCCTTCTTGCTATCCTCGTTGTCGAGCTCATTCATCTGGGAAAACAAGGAGGTTTTTGCACCCATGTCTCTTTTGCTGCAGCAGAGCTAATGTGAGATGAAGCAGCACTAAGAAGCAGCTGCTCCACCATGATCAGCCGGTGGCTTCTTCTGCATGAAACCCAGAAACTTCTCTAGACCTGCCCTGGAACCCTTAGATGAATTATTAGCATTACTACAGCTACCCACAGGATCTTTTACTTTACTGCCTCTGTCTGCTCCTGGATCTCTGTGCTGATTTATGGAGCAGTGAGGGCAGGAGCTACCTTTTTCAGGAGAAACTCATCCATGCTCTTCAGGTCGCTGGCACTGGTTATGATCTGCAGGGAGTCGTTCTGCCACTGCACGGGCTCCAGAGCCACGTTGCTGATCTTGACACTGCGCTTACGCTTCACTTTGGGAGAGGGCTCCTTGTTCTCCTTGAATTCCCGCCGGTAGATGCCCGACAGCTCAGGACTCCGTGGGGGAGTCAGGTGATGAGGACCCAACTCTGCTGGTGATAAACAAAAAGAGGGAAGGAGATTGAGGACCAGACAAAAAATAATTGTGACACTAAAACTGGGAGGTGGGCATTAGAATAAACCTGTGGAGGAGAGAAGCACAGTGTAGAACTCACAGGAAGATTGAATGTCATTTCTGCTTTGGTTATTTCCTCCCTCAAGGGAGGAAACATCTGTCCATGTCCAGATGGCGGCTGGAAGGATTAGTGACATGGAATTCCTTGAGATCTGTTATGGATCCCACCCCTAACCTACTTGCCATCGTTCTGGGTTGACACCATCCATGAATGAAGAGACATGAACCAGCAAGGACATCCCAATTTCCCAACCCAGCTTCTCTCTCCTTACAACTGGTCCTGTGTCCCCCCACCACGTACCTTCGCCAAGCTGCAAGCCAGGAACGGCCTCCCTGCCAGGGGCTTCCTGCTCTGCGTACAGCTCCAGCAGCTCAGACTGGGTAGCAAGCTTCTCCCGGGGGGTCTTCTTCTCCCCCTGCTTTCCCTTCACCCAAAACCTCATCTTGGCTCGTTGAGGCCTGGAAATAAGTCATGGAAAGAGGAACTGCCTTAACTAGGAAAGGTCTTTCTACCCAAAACTACCTCAGTCTTCTGGACCTTCCTGAGGAGATAAATCCACACAATTTCTACCAGGGAAATGTGGCTTCTCATTCAAACTTCAGTTTCATGCACAGGATTCAGTGTTTTGGGATGGAACATGTGGTCCATGTCACCAAAACTTGTGGTGCGAGCCAGACCTGACTGGGTCTGTCCATGGTCATGCAGAAAAGGTGGGATGGGTAACTCATGATGCAGGGGGAGCCTGGGTGGCTCAACAGGGTGTTGGAGAGCAAGAGGGACACAGGAAGGACTTGTCTGTCATCTCCAGCCACAATTCCTACCTCCCATCCAGAGTCAGATTCTTCTGTGTGGCTGCTAGCTTTCCAATCTCCCCTTGAGACATGGTTTTGTGCAGTTTGGCCTGGCCTTCCCCAGAGGTGAATCGCTGCACGGTCTGTAACAATTTGGAATTGTTGCATGAAACATTTAAAAATAAGACAGCCCTTGGAGTATCAGATGTTTGGTTTTTTTTCCTATCAAAGATCAGCTATTTCATCTCCTACATCTTTATTTCTATTTGCCTACAGGTGAAAACACACTGTCCTGGTAAGCCCCATGAGAAATATTTTAATGACTCCTAATAAAGAGAGGCATTTCATTGCTCCAACTCTCCAATCAGGTCCAACCTTCTTCTTCCTTCAGCAACTGGTGATGAAAATCAGTTTGCATCAAGACACGGGTCCTTATAGCTCAGCCTGCACAGCTCTTACACCATTTTCATCCAGGCATTCCAACTCTCCACCCAGTGTCCCATCAGCCACAATGAAGGGACTCCCCAAGGGAACCTTCAACCACCTGGATCTGTCCCAGCAGAAGTTCCTCCTCCAGCTCTTGCTGAGCACTTTACAGAAATAAAGACCCAAGTCTTTATGCCAAGGACACACCAAAAGGAACCCTTTAACAAAGAAATTTTTCAGCTTTAATATCTCCACCTTTGCCACCATTTAAAATGTCCTTGGATCATTTTTAAGGGTGGGATGAATTTGCAGTAATTCAACCTAACAGGATCTCATGAAATAGCCCAGAAATGGACTTATCATATTTTAAAAATATCTAAATTTTTGTTCTATTTTCCAATTGCAGCTGTGATTTGGGAGCTGGACTCCTGGAGGAGAAACTTCCAGCATGAGGAAAGTGGAGAATCAGTTGTGTGAAAGGATTTGGGAGATGATGATCAAATATCTCCTTGGAGTTTTCCTATCATCTCAATGTCTCAACTGAATGCTCTATATTTTAAATAAATTATTTTACTTCTGTTAAAAATATTTAAATAAAATTCTATATCAAGTAGGCTCCAGGGAGGTCACATGTGCCATATTTACTCTTTTTCCATGTTTTATTCCCTTCCCCCCACCCTGGACTAACATCTCTTCCAGCCAGGAGATGGCAGCATGCAAGGCAAAATCATCACTGGGAAAGTCAGGAACTGCTTAAACCATGAAAGAGACTTTGTTCCTTTCATTCTTACATCTAGGTGATGATCACATAGAAACTGTGGATGGATACTGGGAAAAAAGCCATTAAGAACTTAAAAAAGTTATCTCCATCCAGCCCAAACCTACTACTTGTTCTAAAAATTATCTGTCAAATATTTGCCCACACAATATGGTTTTGTTCTTGAGTAATTTCAAGTAATTTTTGAGTTTCCAGCTTTAGTAAATAAAGACTAAAAGGCATTTTTGGCACAATATCCTTCTGTTTGAGGTTCTCTGCCAGGAAACTCTGAAGGGAAAGGATGGGAAACCTCCTCAGATGTCAAGATGAGCATCTGCACCAGAAAATCCCCTGCTAGGGAACACCACAAAGCATTGTGAAGGCAAATGGCAATAACTGGGGTCCTGAAGTTGTCTCCTGGATGAGGAAGGTACCCCAAATATTTTTCCTCTGAGAGAGTAACCTGTGTTTCCCATAAGGTGACTATGGCCAAGGGACTTATCCCAGCAGGCAGCTGTGTGCAGCTGTGTGCTGCATGGAAAAATTTCCTGAAGATCCCTCTAAATGTCTTAGGACAAGAGATCTTCTTTCATTGCTCACTCTTCAGCTGTACTTGGGATCAGCTGGTAGAAGGTACTTGGACCCACGTTTGTCAATTCATGGCTTTAGTGTGGAGGGTGGAGCAAAGCAACTGGTTCATTATCCAGGTCCCACTCTCTAAGGATGTTTCCAGAGGGTATTTCTGGTGTGATTCCTCTAGGCAAGGCTTTCCATTTATGCAGCTGCTATAGGAAAGCTCTGCAGGCTTAGGTGCCAAACAAAAGTGGTGTTAACAGGTGCTGACAGGAACAGCCAGGAGCTGTTCCTTCCACTTGTGTCTCGCTTCAAGGTAGGTTAATCCTTGGCTATTGACCAGCCAAAAAACTTGAATCTCGGTCTTGTCAGGAAGCCCTTAATCCTTATAGAACCTCAGAGTCAAGTGTATCTGCAGCAGCCACTTCATGGAGTGGTGCCCCATGGGTTCCAGCTCCAGCTGCAGATGCTCTGGGTGTTTGATGCTCTGGGATGCCCTGAACGTGGGTCAGGAGCATTGGATTCCAGTGGGCCTCTACTCACCAGCTGGGGTACACCACCAGTGGCTTGATGGCCAAGAAAAAAATGGGCAAAGCAGACAGTGCAGCTGGTGACCCATCATGTGCTGGGCTCCATGGGGCTGCACGTGATCTCTCGTTCATGCAGCCAGCAGCCTCGGCTGCTGAGCAGGACATGGCAAGAGGCTGTTTTGGGAAGTCATAGCTGGAGGCAGGAGCTGTATGAAGGAGCTATTCACTGGCATGGGAACCAGCCTGCACATGGTGGCTGCCAGACGCCTCCATGTGACTCTCACAAGACATTATCAAGTGTCTGCACAGACATCAACCTCTGTATCTTTGTGTTGGGACCCAAAACACCCCAAGAGGCACCATTCCAGCTTTATCACAGGCTGCTCTGCCATCTGCAACACCCAACTGAGCTCTGATAATAAATATGAAATGAACAGTCCCTAAACTTTGCTACTTGTGATGATCCTGACCTCAAAAAAGCCCTAAGCCAAAGGGCTGGTCCCAAACCTGCAATACAAAATACAGATGGAAACACTGGACACATTGTCAGGACACACAGAGGGAGGGCAGCGCGGAGCACACGGCGTCAGGGGTAGTGCTGCCCTAGAAAGCAGAACTTAAAACACCAGGGGTGAAAGTCCTGACCACCAGTTAGAACCAGTGATGGAGAGCAGAGAAGAGGGACACAGCAGAGACAGGAGAGAGGTGACTCCTACTGCTACTGGCATGCGGTGAGAGCTGTTAAACCAGGTGAGCAGAGTCCCAAGGAGCACTTCCAAGGAGTACAGTGACCCAGGATGCTCCCAAAGATGGAGCTTGCCAAGCAGCAGCACGGCACTTTTCACAGCCCAGAGGGAATGATTCCTACAGCTACAATTCCCTCTGTAGGTGGGCAGCCTGCAGGAGCACAGGAAGGCACTCCAGGCATGGCACAGGCTCCATGGTTTGGTGATGAACAAGGTGGTGCTGGGTTTGTGACTCAACAATCTTAGCGATCTTTTCCAACCTAAATGTTCCTATGATTCAATGTAAAAAAAGTACATTTTCCTACATAAAATTCTTCCTTTCCCAATCCTCAAGCAAGGACTTGCATAGAGAAGCAGCCAGGTTATCTCAGTCCATAGAGATGTGTCTTTCAATCAGGTTTTGAGTATTCCTGTCTCAACCCCCAGCAAGTTTATCAAGAGAAGGCTTAAAAAAATTTATGGAATTTGTAAATATTTGCCCTCTTCCAGTGAGGAAATTATCCTGGGAAAAATTATCCTTTATAATAAGAGCTGCTAAAAGAAAAGTCATGAAAAGCCCTCCTTGGCCACTTGCTTTTCTTGGAAAAGGAGCTTTCAGGATCACAAGGGATGTTTTCTGAACCCACAGCAATGCTGTGGCACAAAATAAATATCTGGCTTTGAGCTTCATGCTTTTCTTTGGTTTTATACTCAGCTCCACATCTTGTACTGCAGCTGGAGGAGAGGAACATGGCAGCCCTACCCAGCACTCCACCCAAACTCTCACAGTACTACATGATTCCTGGTGTTTATTCACACTCCTACGGGGACATCTCCACCACCTCAGGAAAAAAATTATGAGCAGGTTGGAATCTGTTGGCCTCTTCCACTCCTGAAACCTCTTGGTTTGTGATTTTCCAAAAGCAGCTTATGTGGGTGGGGAGGTTAAGCCTGAGATGCAAAAGCTCCCACTGTGCTGGCTCATGTCAGACCTGCTAAGGGATACTTGTCACTGTGCTTGGAAAAAACAGTTTAGGTTGGTTGTCCTTGTTTTAAACCCACTATTTTGCTCTCACTACATTTTCACTGCCCAGTTTCCATGGTTTTGCTTTCTCTGAGCTGTGGTCTGTCAGTATTCTGATAACTGACGATCAAATAATCATTGGATATTCTGGCTAAGGATAAAAAAATCAAAAGTAGAAGGTGTAGGATTTATATAATTTTGTTGTCTGTTGTTTTTTTGGACAATATTTACTTTCATTTTCTTTACAGATGTATATAGATCTTTTTTAGGTCAAAAGTTTCCAAGGGGAGGATTGAGGTTAAAGCCCCCCAAAATAGGTAATTGTGCAATACAAGTTGAAATGATCCAGGAAAACTATAGGAAGTGTGGTGGGTATCTAATCAACCCAGGAGCAAGAAACAGAGTTTGGATGGAGCTCTGAGCACCCTGGTCTAGTGGAAGGTGTCTCTGCCCATGGCAGGGATTTGGAATTGAGATCTGAAGTCCCTTCCAATCCAAACCATTCTGTGATTCTGCGATTCTGTGACTTTGCCTCAGTTTCTGCTGTGTTTTCCAAATTTACCCCTCTACAGCATCCTTGGGAGTGGGGAAAAGAAGCAGTGGAGGGATGAGCGCAGCTAAGGTTAGCAAAGAAAGGCTCCCGCAGCTCCGCAATTACCATTTCGGAGTCACTGTAACAGGCCTGCCCCAGGCGGGCTGCGGGCACTGCCTCGGCGTGAGGAGGGTGCTCAGAGGAGAGAAGGAACTCAAAACTGCCATCGTAATCCTCTTCCTCCGTATCCCCCTCCCCATCAGCAAAAGTACCTCTAGTCAAGAAATCGGAGCGCGTCCGCGCCATGCGGGCTTTCTTTTTATGGCTCGGTCTGGGCACCTGCTTGACCAAAGGATAAAACAAAACAAAACGAAAAGAAGGGTTTTAAAGTAAAAAGGAGACTCTACCCATGTAGCCTAAAGATGTCTCTGAGTGCCACTGCACCCCATGGAGGGGATGCAGTATTGTGTCTGGTGAAAACAGCAAAGGACCAGGAAGAACAAAAACTAAGACAGGACGGTGAAAATGGACAACCATGGGTGTTACTCAAACGGACGTTAAACCAAACCAAGACAAGACAGCGTTGGACAGTGTTTGCCATCAGGATCATGGGATCCTTTTATCCAGAACTGTTACAAATTATTCCTACAGTCTTTTTATTTTAAAAGAAGGTGTGGAGGTTACTGTGCTGTCATATCCCCCCTCCCTACCCATGTCTAGCAGCCCTTGTGCTTCAGAGTTCACTTCTTTGAAGCTTTTTAGGGAAAACTGGTAAAATAAGTTATTTTCCCCCCCTTTCCAACAGAAAGAAAAAATAAACAAGTCACAACTCACCTCGCCTCTGCCAGACCCCGGCATCTTAAACGGCTTCCGTGCTAGTTCACCCTTGGAAAGGCAATGATGATTTGCCTCTCTGCTGAAACACAACAGAACAGAGATCTTTCATCCTCTCCCCAAAGTCTTCCTACCACACTAGCCCAGCTCCTGGGAGCACACAGTCCAGTCCAAGCAGTCAAGACTAAATTGCAAGTCAGAGGTCATGGGGTTTTGGAATTGCTTGGAATTCTTCAGGATTGGACTTAATACAAGACAAGAAGAGAAAACATTCTGCCTGTCAACTTTATACAGCAAGGTGGTTATGGATTGTACCTTTGTACTTTGGGATTCTATATGTACTTTGGGTGACTATTCTGTTGCAGAGCAAAAATTAAAATTCTTAATGTCTTTTTCTTCCTGTTCCTTGTTCATGTTGTGCATGAACCAGGAAAATAAATTTTAAACAGGAATTTTCTGTTACAATGGCACAGAAACCACAAGACCACTACACTTGGAGGTACCTTGAGTTACCAGCAGTCATTCACTGGGAGCTGTTGCCTTGGAAAGGGTGCAGCAGGATTTAGGAGGGGGGCGATTGATATCCTTTTTGAGCTACGTGGCCAAAACCACCACAAAATTAGCAAAGCACCTTAAGCAACACAAGAGTGGGAGCAAATGTCCCAAGATCTTTCTGTCATCTCCAGACCCTGGAGCAGCAGCGAGGTTGAGCAACGCGATGGCACTGAGCAACTGCTAAGTCCATTACAGGTGTAATTAATTACATATGTGAATGATACAGTCTCCAAAGAGCATTCACTCCCAAACTCACTCTGGAGAGCTAGTGTTTTCCCATCTACAATGGTCAGAGTGTCCCCATGGCTTTGCTGGATGTATTAATTATGTGGTAAACAAGGAAAATTCTGGATTTTTTTGCCTCATTGAGTCATTTCTATTCCAACTACCCAAAAATCCTAAGAATTTATTCATTGTGTTTTACTTTGAGAACTAAACTCCTGTTCATGGTGGGTAAATAAAAACAGTATTGAGCCTGTTTATTGACTCTCTTCACCTGCTAATGTCCATGATTATTTCCCCTGGATTATATAAAGTTGTAGGAGACTAAGAAATCATATTCCAGGTCTTTTTCCTTTCCCTCTGACCTCCACCTCCTCATTGCTAGAAGATCAAGAACCCTTTGTTTAACTATGGGGTTTGTGCAGACTCCAGAAACAACATTCTGGACCCTTTGTACAATAAGGTCCTTAGCACAACAAAGGGCCAACGGAGAAAGCCTATGGAGACAGCCTGAGGAGAAAGCCTAGAAGAAAGCCTAGGAGAAAGCTTAAGAGAAAGCCTAGGAGAAAGCCTAAGAGAAAGCCTAGGAGAAAGCCTAGGAGAAAGCCTAGGAGAAAGCCTAGGAGAAAGCCTAAGAGAAAGCCTAGGAGAAAGCCTAGCAGAAAGCCTAGGAGAAAGCCTAGGAGAAAGCCTAGGAGAAAGCCTAGCAGAAAGCCTAGGAGAAAGCCTAGGAGAAAGCCTAGGAGAAAGCTTAAGAGCAAGCCTAGGAGAAAGCCTAGGAGAAAGCCTAGGAGAAAGGCTAGGAGAAAGGCTAGGAGAAAGCCTAGCAGAAAGCCTAGGAGAAAGCCTAGGAGAAAGCCCACCGTCTCTTTACTCACTGGAGGCCGAAGGGATTGTCTTTTGGCGTGAAGAACATGGAGCTTGCCCTCATCTCCTCAGTGGCCTGGTTGGGCATCCGAGGTTGCCGGAGGCGCTCTGTCCTTGAGAAATGGCTGCCCGGGTGGTCCTTGGGGTCCAGAGCTGGTTTGGAATGGCAGCGGGGTTCCACACCTTCTCTTCGCTCCACAAACATGCTGACAGGTCGGTCTTTGGGGGCACTGTGGGCTGGAGAGCCCCCTCTGGTCCCAACAGTGAGACCCCTGATGTCCACTGCTGAGGTTGGAGCCACGCCTGGGGTGGGGCAGTGCTCCCCTCTGCTCTGGGCGTGTAGGATGAGGACTGACTGAGGCCGGCTGTCTGCTTTTTTGGCTGGTTTGAGGGAAGGGTCCTTCACTCTGCTCTGCTCTGTCCTCTGCAAAGCCTCTACCCTCCCTTGCTGCTCGAAGGCTTTGCGCTGTCTCTCCAGAATTTCCTTCTGCTGACGGATCTGCTCCATCATCTCCCTCTCATTTTGCAGCTGAAGCTGCTTTTGCCTTTCCTCCTTCTCCACATTGAGCTTTTCCAGTCTTTTGATGACAGAATCTGGAGAAAGGGCCCGTGCTGCTGTCACTGTCCCATGTTCCTCTCTCTTGGAAGAAGGTTTCTCCTCTTTCTCTTCTTCTCCTAAGGCTTTGCCCTGGTCTGGCTCAGAGTCCTTCCTGACCTCGGAGAACATAACTGTCCTTTCCTCTCTTTCCACTGCTTTCTTCCTCAGGTTATTTTCCACAAGCTTCACCTTCACATTGTCTTGTGGTGGAACATAGAAAGTTGGGAGGTTGCTGGAAAGGAGGGTTTCTCTTGGGTGAACCTTTATAGCATCCTGGGGGTCACTGACCCCATGTTCCCTCCTGGTGAGGTTATCGGGCAGCGCCGTGTCTGCTGGGGTCTGTCTGCAGCCGGACAAATCGTTGTCCCCATCCGCTGCACAGAAAGGCTTCTCCTGAAGCTGAGCCTGGGGACTGCTGGGCAGGGAGTCTGTGGAAAATGACTGTACATCATGCTCGTCTAAGCCTAAAGAAATGAGTTTACTATTTGAGGTATCTTCACTGCTTAACAACTCGAAGCTCCCTTGAGAGCTCTCACTCTCCGGGGTTCCCTGAGGGGAATGCAATGCCTCGGACACCAACTCGGTGGCCCAGCGCTGCTCTTCCGAAGGTGACAGCCCACCCGTGGAGCGGACCTTGAGGAGCTCCAAACTGAATTTTGCCTGTTCCAGTTCCCGCATCCTTCGGCTTTCCCTCTTTGCACGAACCACTTTTTTCTGGTTGAGATCCTCCAGTGACTTGGGCCTCTCTCTCACTATGATCTCCTCCTCGGTGTCCATCCCGCTCTGGCTGCTGGCTCTCTCGTGCCTTTTGTACAGGGAGGTATCCAGCGGGTCCACGTGATTCACCCGATTATTCTCCATCAGTGATTTATGCTGTTCTACAGCTCTCACTCGCTCTTCAAATGAGCTGTCCTCCCATTTAGATGGGTCAGAGCCCTTAATTTCCAAAACATCTGCTTCCAGTCCAACCTCTTCTCTACCTGCCAGGCCATTCTCCAGCTGCATCTCTTTTAATTGCTGCTCTTTCAAAGCTCTAAACCTGGAAGAAAGCAGAAAACCAGGATATTCAGCCCTGTGACCACTCAGGACCCTTCAAGGCACTGCACTAGTGCTGCCTCATCACCACCACAACCATCACATCACCACCACCAGCATCTCAAGTGACCCTCCTTGCACATCTGGTGCAAGACAAGGCAAGGCACGTTTGGTTTTAAACCTTCTCCTCCTCTGCCATCTCTGCTACTGAAGGGCTGCCCCAACGCACCTGAAAGCTCTCCTCATGCTGATGGCAGTGGGTCCAGCCATCCCTGGTCTAGCTCCTTCATGAGCTGTTGGTGCCAGAAAAGCTTAACCCATCACACCCCCTTGGCTTCTCCATCTTCGCCATCCTTCCTGGACTGCGGCTGGAACAACTAGCAGGGACTTGTGCTCAGCACCAAGAGCTCTCTGCAGCTCCCAAATGTTCCAAGCGACGTTAAGGTGCTCCCCACCTTGCAGGCAGCAGCTCTGGAGAGTGAATCGTGACCTACCCCCCAGCCAGAGAGCCAAGGCATGCTGGAAATCCTGTGCCCTCCGCAGCGGCTGGCTCCGGTATCCCTTGTCCTTGTGAGCCAGCACAGCAAACACACTGGTGAGGCAATCTGAGTTAAAAATAGGCTACTTAAACTGGTGCTGCTGCCAAGGGGAAAAAAAACCCCTGCGATTATTTACAGCCTTGGCTTTGCACTGCCTACGTGCTCCAACCTGAAATAGGCTCTGCTTATTCCAAGAGCAGGACGTGCAGCTAAATTGTTAGAAAGTGTGGGCAAACAAAGGATCAGGGCAGGTGGGGAGAGGGTCATGGATGTGACAAGGGGACCCTGCCCTGTGTAAGTCACTGCAGTGCCTCGATTCACACCAAGCACCTTCCTCCCCCTGTGAGCATCACCAAAACACATCACCAAAAACATTCCTGGGCGTTACCTTTGCCTTGCCAAGTAGCCCCGGCAGGCTGCCTGCAGGCACACGGCTCTGCTCCTGCGGGCTGTGTACGCCTGCCGGCTGCGGTGTCCCCGCCAGGCTGCCTGGATGCTGGTGGCCGCGGCGTGCCGGCGCCTGGCATGCTCCCGCCAGCAGCTCTGGATGAGGTGGGCTGCAAACTGCATCTGCAGGAACCTCCGGCGCTCCACAAAACCTCGCCAGTGGCTCTGCAGGACGACAGCGGCTTTGCTGAGAACCAAAGGGTCTGGGGATGGTTTGCCTTTTTTTCGGCTCTGGTAGCTACGCCAAAATCTCTGCAAACACAGCGGGGGATTCCATGTAATGGGTGTTGTGTGAAGATGGGACAGCACCTGCCTTCATGCAACCTCTCCAGCTCCCCTCCATTCCCAAATTATTACGACAGTAGGAGTCAATCCTGACTGCCAAGCTCCTTCCTTGGACAGGAGACCTGATTTTACCCAGGGGCTCTGTCTGTAGGATTTGGGGATGGTAATCTGCACTGGAATCCAGCACCAGCACCCACCTGTATGCTGATGGCCGCGTGCCGCAGGCTCAGGAACTGCCTCCTGCAGAGCAGGCTGCGGAACCAGCGCTGCAGCAGGGTGATCCTCCGCAGCACCTCCTGGTGCAGCAGGTCCTGCAGAAGCTGCCGCTCCCGCTCCTTCATGAAAACCTGGCCAAAACAACCCCAAAAACACTAGCATGGAAAGCTTCCCACACCACAAGTCAAATGATTTAATCCTCTTGGTTTCTGAGTCCTGGATGCTCCCAGGAAAGTTGAGGAGCTGATTTTTGTGAAGGCACCTCTAACAGGTTTCAGCAGTTTCACAACAGCCTGTGACTGTCTAAACTCTAAATTACAGAGCTTTCCCCTCAGGGAAGGCAAAATGACGACCATCAAATCAAGTCTACACACACACACAGATTTTGGAGGATATGAGGTTTTTGAGGTTGCCTCATTACAATCAATAAAAAAACAATATTCTTCCTTACTGTTTTATGTTAACAATATCAAAGGTTTCATTTAAATCATTGATTTTTGGTAGACAGAAGAAAAATAGTTTCATTAATTAAAACCATATATAGATATTCATTTATCAGACAGAAATACAAGCAAATGTTATATCTGTGTTTTAAATGCTGAGCTGAGGGTGGACGTTTACCATTGTTCTTCCAACTTGGTAATTGTCTAGATTGAGTTTTATCTTCCTGAAGAAATCTTGGATATTGTGCTTAGATGGGCTGATCCCTTGTGGCAAAAGGACATGGAAATGGTTCACAAAATCCTGAGAAGGAAAAAAAAAAGCAACACCAAGATTTGGTTAGTTGGGTCCTGCTGCTTCTTTCTCCCATAAATTACAGATTTGCTCCACTGGCCACATGAAACGGGACCTCTGGAGTGAGCAGAAGGACAGATAACATTTTATGCACTGGGGAACACCCAGTTTCATCCAACATTTGTGGTTTGATGGAAAGACATCAAAGCAGGGACCCAGCAAGGTTCAGACGTTTTTCAGCGTGGGAGGAGAGGTTCTGCAGGAGCCACAGGGTCATTCCAAGGAAAAAATGCTCCAAATCCCCAGCAAGGGCCACTACGGAAGGCAGATACCAACATCTGCAAAACATCCCTGAGATGCTCCAGCCATTACTGCTGTAAGGATTCAAAGAGTGAAGGAGGTGCTAGAGGATAGATCCTCCCAAGCAAGGTTGGGATCCCTGCTCCTGGCACAAAAATATTTGAGTTTTTTTTATTTTTCTGAACAGCTGCTGTGCAGAACATGATGTCTGCCCCAAAGCAGCTGCAGGCAGGAAAACAATCAGCACCAGCAAAGCATGAAAGGACCGACATGTACACAAAACCTGGCAAACATATGGAAAAGAAGAAAACAGGAAAAGCTGCCTAACTCCAGCAGTTCAGAGGATGCCGATCATCCTCCTGATGGGACCCGGCCAACATGACAGGGCAAACACTGCTCTCAGTAATTCCAGATGCAGAAGAGAATGTGCAAATCAGACACTTTTTTCGAAAAGGGAGTCCATGTTGCAAAAAAATACTGATTTTGTTCAAAAATCATGGTGCAGGGGGCTCACAGCCCTCCCTGAGGTCTAGATTGGCTCACAGGCAGAGAACAGCCTGTTACATCCACTGCCTTCCAAGAGCTAGAAATGAATTACCCTGATAAAAAATGAACCAGCAACACTCAGACAACTCTGTTAATGATGCTAAAGGTGATGGAAGACAAAGGCCATTGCACTCAACCTGAAAGGAGTATTTGCAGCTGTATCCTGACTGGCGAATGCGCACTGTCTCCAGCATCCCCGTGTAGCGCAGCTGCCGGAGCACCAGGCTGTCGTTGAACCGCAGGGGCAGCTGGAAGGGGAAAAGCAGACCAAGGATGAGCAAGTATTTCCTTTCACTGAAGCGGGTAAAGGGTTCAGCAGATGTAGCACATGTGCATGACACGCACATTGTCAGTGATGCTACAGGAGGGAGGGAATGTGGGCCCTCAGGAACTGAACAAATCCCACTGGGATTGAATCCTGTTTGCTTCTGAGTCTTTCAAACAGCTAACTAGAGAAATAAAGCCATAAAAAAAAGATTTTTTGCATTTGAATTGAATAACGCCAAAGGGCACAGTTAATGGGTGAGATTTTGAGCAACTCAATAATCTCCAATGCAAAAAGCTTCAGCTTTAAAAGCTTCAGCTGGGTAAAACTGAAGGATTAATCCACAAAGCATCCCTACATTTTGAACTGAGGGTCCTTGGTCCATGACACAATTATGTAAAGTCAAATTTAAGAAATATGAGTCAGTGTGATCAATGTAGTTTATTCTAAAAGTATCTGCTTTTACTTATGGAAACTTTATTTTAAGGAAGCTTTAGAGCTCAGACCCAGCACAAGTGAATTCATGGTTCTATAAATCTCTCTTATGGCTGGTCAGAACCTTCAAAGGAGTCAAATTAATTTTATTAAATTGAATTAATTAATTAAATTAAATTGATTAAAGCAAATATATTTTTCATATAAATTAAAATACTATGTTTGCATACATGTATTTCTACAAATATAAGAGCCAGTGCAGTTTATCAAGAGTGACACCCAAGTGATAAATCCATGCTTCCCCTTGCTCAAATCTTCTAAATCCAGCTCAATTCGAGGCTTTCTTTCCTATTTAACTCCCTGTAAAAATGGACAAAAGATTCCCAAGCTGATTTCCAGCAGGACTGCTCTCACAGGATGGCATTTACCTTCTCGGCGTTGGATCGGATGCACTTGACAAAATACGGCTCTGCTTGGCCAAGGGTCTCCATCAGTTTGTTGAGGGATGCCTGCAACAGAGGAGACACAGGGAAGGGAGAGGAGAATGAAATATATGAAAATCCAAATGTTTAAATCATAAACAAACATAAACTAGAATTAATTGTGAGCAAATGAGGCACACGGGAAATTATTAACCGAAAAGAGTGTTTTAGTAGAAGCAACTTGACTGATTTTGTCTTTGCCCCCAACAAAGAAACCAAAGATAAATACAATGCTGGGCTGGATTTTCAGATCTCTGGCTCCCCTGGAGCCCAAATTCCCATCCCACTCTACACCACAAGCCTCTTCCTGCCATGAATGGGAGGTCTAAGATAAGAATTTACACCTGGCACCAAACAATCACTAATGTTCTTTAAACAAACCGAATTTTCCTTCCTCAAAAGTGACTCTAGGCAGGATTTACTTCTGATTTTTAATTGTCAAAACTTTACCGTTGGCCTAAAAATGAATTGTTCTTAATGAAAGTTTTGCCAAGGGAAAATTGGGAATTTACAATAATTTTTGAAGCCTGCAACCCTGAACACTTCAGAAGTTGTTTCTAGAGAAGAACTTCAGTGCTGGCCTGCTCCTGACTGAAAGATCACTGAGAATTGAGAGGTTTCTTGGTTCCATTTTTCTATTTCCCCTTTTTTACTCATCACCATTAAAAGTCTCTCCCATAAAAATGAATTTACATTGGCATCACTCTACAGCCAGCTGCTCCAGCGGGATGTCATGCTGAGTTATCCCTTCACCTTGCAAACCTTTGACTTTTTGGGATGAATCAGCTCTTGGAATAAAACCAGGCCGAAAACCAGAGTGTGCTGAGTCCATTGGTGCTGGCCAGGCTCCTCAGCCACATTTTTTTGCTGTGTCCTATAAATACTTTGAGTATCTCTAATTGCTGAACACATTACAAACATGACATTGGTAAGGTGCTACAGCGTTCATAGAATTCACATTACTCCTGATTTTAATAGAGTTTAAAATTCAATCACGTAAAGGATGTCCTGTTATATTTACTATAAGCAGAGTTATTAATCCTGGAATACAGGAGCTAATAAACTGGTGTGGTATTACAAAGAAGCATTTTGCCCACAGATAGCTCACAGGAAGCCTTTTTTCCCTTCTGATAATTTCAAAGACATCTTTATGGGAAGCCTTTCATGTTTAGAAAACTTTGTTCACAAGATTTCTTCCATGATTTTGGAAGGAGCAAGGCATGGATCCAGGCACATGTGACACAGCTGTGTTATGTACATTAACTTCATGCAAATATTGCTGCTGCTGTCCCAGGAATACCATGACATGGCAGACCTCTGCTGGCATGCTCCTGGTTTTCTTAAAATCTGAAATGACTCTTTTTTACACAAAAGAAGCCCATGGGGAGCTCTCAACCAGCAGTGACGCTGCAGCATCCTGGGGTGCTCAAGGGACACAACCCTTTTGCTGCAAGCCCAGCGAGCAGAGTGCTCCCAGTGCTGGAAATGGTGGGAAAGGGATGTGCTGGAGCCACAGGAGGGGGCATTTCCATTCCCCCATCCTGTGTGAGGCAGATGGTCCAGGCACCCTCTGCCATCTGGTGGCTGGGAGTCTGCAAAGGACACGTGAGGTCGCTGGATTAACCCTGTGCCCGTCTCCTTTGTCCCTCTGCCAGCAAAACTTTCCAGCCACCCACTTTTTTTCCACCTGTACTCAGCCTTTTAGGAACTGTTCCATCCCGGTCTCCAGGGCACCACCTGCACGTGGGTTCAAGGGGAGCTCTACAGTTTTGGTATGCTTTAGTTCTCCACCCTGAAAGCCATCCTGGCACACACTCTGAGGCACTATTTCCCCTATAGATTACCCTAAGTATAGGGATAATGGAAATCCATAGGAGATGGAGCAGCTGCAAACCTGGTGTTGAGGCATTAGCCACAAAGCAGCATTTCATCACAAAAAAAAACCATGATAGGAAACATTTGTGTTTCCTGCCTGTGACCCAGTTCTGTGCACCGCAGTTTTATTAGTTTGCTCTTGATTAAAAAAGCAATGCTGCTGCTTCATCCCTCAGAATGATTCTCTTTAACAAGTGCTCAAAGAAATTAGGAGTCTTTGATTTGAATGCGCTGTGAAAGTATACAAAAAACATCCATTGTGCCTCCCAGAGCTTTTCAGAATTTTGTAGGGAGCATAAATAGGTTTTGGGAAGGCTTTTCTCTCCAAGACATCCCTGTTTCAAACCCTCCGTGGGTATGAATTAAATTCTGCAGGAATTAATTTTGACCAGAATACCATTAGATCAGGCAAGGCTAAATATATATATATATATATATATATATATAAATATACAGATGTGCATTATGCAAATTATATATACACATGTATGTGTGCATGTATTTTTTATGATTTAATCTTACCCACACCTATACACTGAGACTTTCTAAATATAAACCACATCTCCAAAAAAAACCACAGAGCAGTCAAAATTACAAGTCAAAACCAACCCAGACTTGCTTAGAACCCAGATTCTAAGTGAAAAGCTGCCTTCTATTATCACCACCTGCTCGTGCACATGTCTTGTAGCCGTTTCCAAGCCGTGATGCACATATAGAACAATCACATTTAGGCTGGAAAAGACCTTTAAGATCATTGAGTCCAACTGTGAGCCCAGCACTGCCAAGCCATTGGAAAATTATTTTCCCTGCACCAAGCCTAGGGATTGCTGACTGGCACACTGCACCGACAACACAAGATCCTCCTCTGAATTCACCTGCTTGCCTGGAGATAATGCAGGGTTCTGACCTTTCATCTGACCTTTCTGCCCCTATTAGAACTCCCATTCTGTCTCAGAACAGATTATGCTGCATGAGAGTAAAAAGACTGCAAAAAACGTGGTTTGGTGATTTTGCGGTTTCTGGATTTGGAGAAAAAGCTCCACAATACGAGGTACCAGAGGACAGGGATGCACCAACATCTCCCTCTGCAGCTCATCCTCATGTCCCACCTATGATCCCCATCCTCACTCTTATTTCTCTCCATTTGCACCCTTTAAATACTGCTGTGTCTCCCAGTTCCCTCAAGCCCTCAGTGGGATTCATGGCCTAAATGCTGCAGGAGATGGGGCAGGACTGTCCCTAGAGCAGCTGGTTCCCCTCTCTCCATCAAAGGAAAGGGCTCACCTGGAACTGGGCACTGATGCTGGGTGGTTTTTTCTTCTTATGGAGGTGGAGGAGAGATTTGGTAATGCGGTCGTGCAGCGTCAGGTTTGTGAGGTGCTTCAGGGACTTCACATCCAGCAAGTGCTGCGGAAAAAAGAGAGAATCCATAGAAAACCCAGATGTTATCATCACACCATCTGCTACATCCTTCCTTTACCCTCACAGGGAGATTAGCTGATGTAATCTCAACAGGGAACGCTGAAGGATGGCTTCCCTGTGAGGGTGGGCAGGCCTGGGCCCAGAGAAGCTGTGGCTGCCTCTGGATCCCTGGAACTGTCCAAGGCCAGGCTGGATGGGGCTTGGATCACCCTGGGACAGTGGATGGTGTCCCTTCCCATGGCAGGGGGAAGAAATGAATGACCTTTAAGGTCCTTTCCAACAAAAACCATTCCATTATTTTATGATTCTCCTCACTGTTAATGAGCAGTTCATTGATTAATCGCTTTGGTGTCTCTCCAGGTACAAGATGGACATAGAGAGGAGTAAAAAATGTATGGTCCTTTCCTGGTGCTCTGCTCCTGACCAGATGCAGCACCAGCGAGGACCACAAAAAGCATTGTTCTTTTAGGGACAGCAGATCTCCTGGTACCTCTAAAAATATAATAAATGTAGCCAAGACAGAGGGAAAGTAAGAAGGTTGTTGTCTATCAGTATCTATGTTGTCTATCAGGAAGTGATCAGCTCTCCTGCATCACTTACTTGCTCATTTTAGTTTCGAGATTTGGTTATTAAATTTCACCAGCATGTATGTACTCCTCAGGAGGTAAAAGGAGCCAGAGCAGCTTCAAAGAGGATGTAAGTGCTCTTATCTCTCTTTCCCAGCAGAAATCAGGGCCAAAAACCTTTGGGTTTATATGAATTAAAGAGCCCTGAACAGAGCTGAGTTGACCAAAGTCTTGATGTAGACACAATGGTCTTCTTCATATTCAGCAGCATCACATCACTGTGCCACAGCCTTAACCCACAGACCACAAGGGGGAAAAGGCTGCTTCTCACTCACCTTTGGGAGACTGGGTTTGGATTTGAAGTTCTTATTTCGCCTGGGGAGATAACAAACGGCTCAGGTTAATCCACAGTGCAGTTGTGGAATGGAGGAGTTTATGAGACCAGCCCCTCCAAACCCCACTGGCAGCTGCTGCCCCTAGCTGGCACTGAAATGGGGCTGCTCCTGCATATTGCAGACTGAGAGGAAATGGATCCAGGTCATGGGAATGGTTACATTGGAAGTGATGGCACGCTGGGAATTTGGGAAGAGCAAAGAAGCCAAGTCACAAAATGACTGACCAGGCTCCTGCTTTCCAATCTCCATGTTCATTCCAGCCACCCTGGGATGCTCCCTGAACCGTCTAAGAGGCTGAAGTGTGAATCATCAACATCACCTGCCCAGGTAATTTACAATGGAAACTTTGATATGATGTTAAAGGTGTGACTACATTACATGGCTGCTGTAACTCCAGACTGGTGTGACCAGCAGGTTTGTTCCTTCTCTTCCTTCCTTTGTCTGTCATTCTGAATGAATGAGACAAGTTAAATCAGACATGTCAAATGTACTGGGGTTGCTTTGACCCAACTGGGAAACACCTCCAAGTCTACTTGGTGCCCTTAGAGTTTTATCTCCTGGCTATTTACATTCCCCTAACTTCCCATGCTGCTCATTATGCTCCAGGAGCAAGCCCAGATCCCCTCCTGGGTACTGACATGAGGATGCCATGGGCCCTCTCCAGCAGTTTGCTGTTGGTTGCGTTGACGAATATCCCATCTTTGTCCAGGAAGGTGCCAGGGCTGGCAAGCCTGTTGTGCCTCATCCCCATCCGGCCATTCCAGCCAACTGCATAGGCATCCCTGAAACACCAGACAGCGTTAGGAAGAGAGAAAAACACGGTTCTATGAAAAAAAGAGATCATAAAATAACCCACTGGTAGAAAACGAGCTGCTGCTTTTTTCTTTCCAGTTTTTATTCACTCCCATGGGATGAGTCCCTGGTGCCAGACAGCCATTGTTTACTAAAGCACCTCTCAAAGATCAAATAGTCACAAAAGGAACAAATTATCAGCAGGACAATAACAGCTTCCAGCTCTCCCACACAGAAACCTTGAGTATGCAGATATCTCTAGATACCTTTGGTGGTCTGAAGGACATGAGGCCATGATATCTGGTGCTGACTCTGTCTCCTCAAATTCACACAATCATTCCATTAGGAAAAGAAAAAGCAAATCTAATTCGCAATAAACTCCTTATTTGCCACAAAGATGGATGTCAGCCCCAGATGGATGGATTGGTTGACCCAGAATCATTCTCTGGGACCTGAGTACAGATCAGTCACTCAATTTGGCTCCTGCTGCCATGGAGCATAACTGCTGTGGTCTCCAGAAATGCTCACCTGGCTTCAGAAGGGCTAAAGGGAAGGAGTAGAGGAAGCAAAATCCTCTCTTGGAGGGATGGAAACAGATACTTGACCAAACTACACATAAGGACAAGCAATTTCCAGAGATAAGGAGCATTCCAGTGGTGTCTGGGGGACATGAAGCCCCTTATTGACAGCACTCAAACAAAATACTTTTGTCTTGGTGTGTTTTTAGTGGTTTGTTGGGGGTTTTTAAATTCTAAATTTTTTTATCAGTCTTGTAGAAATCATCATACAAAATAAAAGCAATCTAAGGAAGGATGTGGGGCCTGGAATGCCCATCCCTGCCTGCCCCCAAGTTATCTCAGACAGGAGGAAAAGGAACAGGAGGAGACTCCAGGCTGCACCAGGTCATGAGGATGCTGAAGGACACGGTGCTTTAAACGTGGCCTCAGGCACCGGCTACTTCTGAGGTCTGACAACAAGGCAGTCCTTTGATTTGGAGGAAAGGCAAATCTCAAGTGCCACATGGAAATTAAAAAATAAAGGATGTAAAGCTGTATGTTCAGCCAGCTCAAAGCCTGGAGCCAGATCCTCAGAGCAACGTCACCTCACTGCCTCATCTGAGCACTTCCCAAATTCCTTGCTGATCCTATTAAATCAGCATTTTGACATGGACCACTATTATAAGGAAGGATTGATCACAGCAAAGAAAAACCCCTGGCTAAGTGCTCCAGGACCTGCTTTCTTAAGCATTCCATTCACAGATTGTCAGAGAGAAGTTTGAATATCCAAGTGATCCCTCCTGTTCACCTTTTTTCTCTTTACATCCATCCACCAAAACCCTCCTGTTTGCAGGTGGGGAAAAAAAAACCCACCAGTTGATGGGAACCACTAAAGCTCAACAGCCACCTTTGGGATGTACAATACCATTAATCCTGGCCAACCTCTCTGGAAAACCCTAGAAATTCCCATGTGGTTTTGAAAAACCCAAGAGACACCCAATGACAGCTCTGATGGTTGTGGATGCTTTAGGATGGATATGTTCACATGCCAACAGATGCAGGCTTTTGGTACTTCAGGGTCAATCACACCTCACTGAGCCCAGCCAGCTGTTTCCAGACCAACACTTGCTCAGACACCCCTGCACATGAAAGTGTCACTGGTGAGCACAAACCAGCAGGATCCCAACCTGCTGGTTTGTGCTCACACAACCTGCCCAAGTGGTTTTGGTTAGGCATGGCCTGGCCTTCATTTCTCAGCAGTTGGGGAAGGCACTTGGAACACTCTGCTGAAGCCTGGTTTCCCACCCAGCATGTGCAAACCACCTGTCCACTTTTTTCTGAGATCAGAGGAGAGCACTTGGCTTCCTAAAGCCTCCACAGAGACTTCCTGAGTGATGTCATGCCTCAAAATTGCTTTTAGAAACAGGCCTTGAGCTATCCTGTAGGATGGATGCATGACAAGACTTATCAGCAACCACATGATCATGAGATGTCTTTGAAAGGAATTCCTGTTTAATTTGGAGCCGTAATTGCTTGCCAGTTGATCTGCTGGGAAGCTGCTAAAGCCAATCTCTCTTCCAGATGTGTTACCTGCACTCCTGTGCTCACCTCCTCCTGCTCAACAAGTGCCATTTACCTGAAATACCAATGTTCATCAAGTGGGACACAACTCTCCAGACCAAGAGCAGCTACAATGAAAGGGATCAAAATCACCTGCCTACTCTGAAAGCCCAGCTGGACCTTGGAAATCTTCTGAGAAACCTGGTTTGTACTTCCAGAAGGATGGGGAAAAGGAGACATTTGGGAATCCATTACTGATGATGCCCAAGGGAAGTGAAGATCATGGACCACGCTACTGAGGCACCACAGGAGGAGGAACACAGGAGTTAGGATGATTCCAAAAGCCCATTTTCTGCAAATAAAGGCTCAGATTAAGGCTGCTGATAGGACACAGCTGCTGAGGATGAGGAAGGAAAACACAGTTCCTCAATTCTGGCTGTTTAGGCTGACTTGTCTGCTGTGCTGGCATGGGTTAAGTCACATAAGCAGAGCTGACCACACGCTGAACTCCACAGTAAATAAACACATCCTCCTCTTTGCCTGGGTCAGGAGGAGTTTCCCTGCTTTTAGAATGTCCCTTTGCTGAGATAATTGAAATATTTTGAGCTACAAAAATGTTGGCAACCCAAGCTCCTTTTAGACTCCTAAAGTGCCTCCAAAGCCGGAGTTGGGCAGTAAAGAAAAGCCCTGTCCCAGTTCACAGATGTTCTTCATGTGACAAAGGTTGGATAGAGAAACTGCAGGAATCCTCTTATCTACAAGGGAAGATCTCCAAAGGGACAAAGTTTCACATTACGTTATCTTGAGGGAAACTTGCAAAATCAGAGGTGCTGGAAGCAGGGAATGTCACCTCTGGAGACACCAACCTTCCCTGCTTCGAGTGTTACCAAGCACCGAGTGTCATCACAACCCAACCCAGCAGAGCCCCAGCAGCTGCAGCATTACAGAAAGGAAAGGAAGGTGGCAAAGACTGAGGTGAGGACAGTCAGGTTCCTTCCCAGGACAGGGTGACACTGCTTGTGGATTTCTGCTCAAACTCAAGAAGTGGCACAAATTTATGAATTCAATCCCACCATTTTAAGTAAATCCCATTCTCTCTAACCACTGAAATGGACTTGTAATGATGTGAGAACATTCAGTTCTCCTTCAGGAGGGTGCCACTGCCTCTCTCAAAGGGGTGGAATTCGGAAGAGGAAGGACATTCTTCTAGAAAAAAAGGAACTATGTGTATCTAATTTTTGTTGTGGCTATTTGGCATTAAAGCCATTAAAAATGAGCCTTCATAACATCCTCGAAGGATATTTAATTTTGTGGGATGCAAGGACTGATCTAATGGACACATTTCAGGAGACAAGACTCGGACTCCTCTTGACTTGTTCTGGACTTCTCATAAAGACACACTGGAATATCTGCAGCCCCAAGCAGTGGTTGCAGGAGCTGAGGGTGCTCCTTCCCCAGCTCAGAGGGAAGCAGAGAGGCACCCTATGCCTTCAGAGGGGTATTAGGAAAATCAGACCTCCTGGGATTCCTGTGGAGGAATAGCACAAGAGTAGCTGAGAAAAGGATCAGTGCCCAGACATGCCTTGGAAATGAAGACTTTGGCTTCACAAGCAAGTTAATTCTGGAACGGGAATGAAAAAGGCTTTGCAGAAGAGGCACAGATCTGTATCTCAAGTGTAGATCTGAGTCTCGTTCAGTAGCTGCTTAAATGGTCAGAAACTTCAAGGAAGGAATTAAAAATAAAAACATACATAAAATCTGTAAAAATCAATCAATTTTGAAGCAAATGTGCTTTTTTTTTCCTCTTGAAAGCAAGCAAGCATTTGGCAAAGTACCATCTCAAACCCGTACCTTCCAGGTTTTCCACATTCCAGGGTGCCTAGAGCCACCACATGCTGCATGCAGTTCTGCACCCAAACCTGTCCTCCTTAAATTACTATTTCCTTGATATTGGCACATTAATTCATTTTTTTAAGCTTCTTCTCCCCTCGTAGTACACCCACCACCACCAACTGCTGCCTCTGACACAGGGAACTTGCTTTCCCTGACTGCTGTTCAGTCGGGAAAGGTGTTTAGATCCCATCATATGGCAGAGAAAGAACGAAGAGAAGATTGAAAGGCGAGATGGGAGAAATGTCAATACAGCCATTTTTAGGTACAGACGGTGCCCTCCCACCCCAGATTCCCGGCCATGCCAAGGTGAAAGCAGAAGCCTTACCGCGGGCTCCTCTCGTTGATGGTGTTGACTCCCTGGAGGTCTGAGAGCGGTGTCCGCGGGCTCTTCCGAGTGATACCTGAAGCAGCACATGAAGAAGACGTTTCCAGCTGGCTCATAGCCAACAGACAATTAGCAGAGCCATCCCCACAGACAATTAGCAGAGCCATAGCTGAGCCCTGACTGTGGCGCGGACGTGTCCTGGCACATGCCGGGCACAGCCGGGTGCCAGGGATGCCATCGCTCCCCAGTGCCACCTCCCTGCCAGAGTCATCACCCTTTGAGTAACACTGTTTGCTCCAGCCTCTAATTCCCCTCCCACACACACATGGGGTGCTTCAGGGGCACGCTGTCCCTGCCAGAAAATGGGGTGAGGGAAGGAGCTAATGGGGGGGAGCAGCCACTCATATTCTCCGTGTCCAAGAGATTCCCAAGCTTTCCACTGTGCACGGGATAACCCAGCTGCACGGGCAAAACACCTGGACATAATTAGAATACTTGAAAAAATGGGCATTTACTCCTTAGACACTTCTCTCCCTCCCTCCAAATATATGGACATGTGTAGCAAGTAGGAAATACTTTATACACTATTTCACAAAGGCTTGATTGCCAATTGAGCCTATATACTTTGATACCTGGAATAATTTATTTGTAATAAAATATGTCTAATAAAACAATATATTAAATAAAGTATCTATTTTATATTCAGCCAAGGAAGATGCCACACATGCTTACAGTAGCAGCTGTTGTCTTCCCCGAAGTGGAAATGTTTTGTAACCAAGCACTTATGAAGACAATTTTTGTAGACAACAAAACACTTCAAGTCACCAAACCACAGAAATGTAAAGATCTGATAATGTGGAGTTTGACATGAAAACAGCTGAGCAATTTTATAACTGTCTCAAAATCACTGCTGTGAGACAGGAAAAATCACAGCTCTCACCTCAGCATGGGGAAAAGGTGTTTTATTCTACCCTGAGACATCTACAGTGGGAAAAAACAGGGAAAATAATGCTTTCTAAAAAGAAAAAAGTCTAAACTAGGGTTTGTAGCAGGACAGGAGGAAGCAATGGCATATCCCCTCCTCCCCATATTTATAATTCCACTATTTCATGCAGCCCAGGTGCTGAGCTGAAAGATGTCCTGGCGATTTGTTATTCCGAAAGATGAACACAAAGCAAATACTCTGAGAGCTGAGCCCGTCCTGCTGCTCTGAGCCTGGAATTCCTGAGGAGAAGCTGAACTCCTACCAAAGTCAACAGGACATTTACTGCCCTCCTTGCCCTGTTAAGGTGTTGTAACAGCTCATCTTGAAGATGAACAGGAGAAGCAGTTCATCTTGAAGTGGGCAGGAGATCCCTGAAAAGGTTGATGGTCCACCTGATTAAGTTTTTGCATCTAAAGGTGCCCAAATATTCTGGACATGGAAATGCCAACAAAAGAAGATTTGAGGGTGTGCTGCCCCAGGTCATCTTTGAACCCAGCCTGTGGTCCAAAGCAAGACCAACCAAATCACTCCTGCTGAGGTCTGGCATCTCCAGCACTGGAGGTTTTCGGAAAGCACGGCAGGAAATGCATCCGAGTGCTTAACAACACCCAAGCTCAAAATCCTTTTCAATTCTGCTTTTTGCCATTTAAGCCATTCTTGGTTTACATTTCTTGTCCTAGGAGTGTTCTTGTACCTCTTTCAAGACTGGCATTTCTGTGTCCAAAGTCCTGATTTAGAGCACAGAAACTCAACTGTAAAAAGGGAAAAATGGGAATAACCAGGAGTCTGCTTAAAATGTTGCATTAGTAATTTGTGTAGCTAGTTCTAGACTAAGAAAGCATCTAATGTCTAGCTGGATCTATTTTTAATATAGATTAATATATTTTAATATGCTTGGATACTCCCCTGTTAAGGCCCAGAAGGCTTTTCTTGTCTAAAAGAGTCCATAGAAAATGGGATTTCACTGGTATTTCCAAGATTTCTTAGAATATCTTTTTGGAGCAAAATCTGTCTTCCTACCATTCCCTGCACTCCCCACCAAAGGAAAGGTCCAAAACACTTTCCAACCCAACAAGTCAAGCTGAAGTGATGAAGACAAGGTTGTATCAACTTATCCCTGCATCCTTGCATTGCCCAGGAAAAGGGAATTTCTATTTCAGGCTTTCAGGTAACAGCTGCATTTAAACTGCATCATGGTTCTGCCAGCTCAGCACCTTAAGTGATTTGTTGATTGACAAAGGTCACAGTGCACAAGTTGGGTTAAAGAGAATTGCTTTAGATACACCAAGTATAAAGACTTTTCTACCTTGTGCCATCACTTGGCTCTTTAAAGAAGCAATACAGCCAAAAAAGCTGTCATGTTTCTTATTTCTGGGAAATAAAGGGGATTTTTATAAATAGAAGGTAAAAAGGTCTTAGACTTCAGCTGGTGAGTCGCACCCGGCCTTGAGGATTGTGTATGGTGAATATGGGCCATTAAATTGCAGGAATTGATAGCAGGAAAGAACAACGTGTGAATGGCAACAACCTCTCACTCCCTTCATCCAACTCAGATACAGCCTGACCTGCTTTACACTTCAGGCAGAAAATGATTCTGATTTTTCAAGCATATTCCCCATCCTTCAGCCAGAGTGTTTCAGCAAGACAGACTGATTTATCAAACAGGCCTTTGCTCTTGTTGAGAAGAGTTTTGGATAAGCCCTGTCTACTCCCTATGGGTGAATGTCAACCAGCAGAGCTCCAGTCTTGAATCAGAGGTGTCTAAACCCAGTGCCTTGCTCTGGAGGGACTGGTGGGCTCCATGGCTCCAGGGAAGCAGCTGACGGTAAGGGAAGGGCGACCAGTTGGCTCCAGAAGCTGAATACCAAGGGACCTACAGGGAATCTCAGTAAACTCATCAAACCAATTTGTTTCTCTCTTTGTTCAGAACTAATTGCACAGTTCAAGACAAGGAGATGACCCTGGTTCCTGTCTCAAGGATGATGTGGATGTATAAGCTCACCTGACCTGTGGGAAAAGCTGAGTCCCCGGGGCCAAGCTTGCCTGTGGGTGGATTCTGAACCGGAACGTTACGCACGCTCCAAGCCCACCTCAGCTTTCCAAGGCTGGGAGCCTGGGGAAGCAGGAGCACACCCCATGGGAAGGTGGAAGGATCTCTGAATGCAGAACATTAATTACTCATTTGCCTGGTCAGATGCTAATTCACAAACTGCGGCAATGCTCTTCTTCTTAGACCCATTGGTTGGATTTATCCTAAGAGATCTCAAATTGTGTGAACTAGTCTGTGTTAGTGAGGTTTTGAGGTGTTGAGCTCAACATTGAGCTCAACTTCCTGCTTCCCACTAAAATAAAGCTCTAAGTATCGCTTGAGTTGTATGAATTTCCTTTTTCCCACCTAAGGAACTGCAAACTAAACCCCTCAAAATTGCCCATATTGTTGAGCCAACCTAAGAATTAAATTGATTCATTAATTGCAAGTAAAATTACTCTGCTGATAACCACTTTCCTTTCCAATCGTTTCTTAGTAGTATCAGTAACGTCACTTAGCACGACACCACTTTATAAAATCTAAAATCAAATAAAATTTAGCATCACTCCTTTTTATTTTCTTACAGCAGCATTGGGAACTAGTAGGGTAAAATAATGTAGTTAAATTAAGAATGAAAGCCTAAATTAAGACCTAAACCACCATTGCTCCCCCAACCCCACATGCTGCAGGAAGCACAGACATCTGACAGAAGGTTTCTAACAGGAAACCCATATTTATGAAGATTTAACATGCACCTACTGTACTTACCATGCTCAGCTCTACAAAAAAGAAGGTAGTTTCCACTTACACCTAAATTTCATGAAGTTTAAGCAAGTTGGGCTGAAGCTTTGCCCATGCAGAGAAGCTCTATTTCTGTCAGCTTTAACACACAACATGAAGGAAGAGAGTAATGGTAGGAAAATAATATATCTAAACATGAGAGCACCAAATATCTATTTAAATAAAAAAATGAAATAGTATAGTGCAGGCAAGAATGTCCATTTTGTCATGCAGGATGAGTTTATTACATGACAGAGGAGTGAAGATGAAGAAATGGAGACCAAGTGCATCATTCTGTAAAATAACATTGACAATGCCTCTGTTTTAAGTAAAAGCCCTGGGAGACATTATTTTCACAAGCTAAAGATATTTCTGAAATCCAATGAAATCCAAATTAAATTGAATTCCAGCTGTACCAGCCTTGTATCAGGAATATTCTTTATTAATGTCAGCGAGTAAATGGGGAAATTGCCAACAAAATGATTTTTGTCAGATCTCAAGAGATATGGGTTTGCTTTTAATTTGACTCTTCCAACTCTACCTAATATTTCCCAATAGGCTCAAAACTGCTCTAAGGCAGCTGGTTTGATCATGGAGCACTCCTCAGGCCTGTTTTTTATCCTTTCTACATGGAATGCACCTGGTTTCCATTTCTGGACGTGTGAGTGTGGTATCAGAGGGGAGGGCGGGTGGTGGAGCCTTACTGTACTTCTCCTCCTTGCACCTCTGCAGGATCTCTAAGCTCCTCTGATGAACTGGGTGGTGGAGAAAGCTAAAACTATCCACACTTTTCAAAACCGCACATGGCACTGCATCATCATGCCCTTGGGAAGCAAAATAAAAACAAAAAATAATGGAGAGAAGAGAAAGATTTTATAAGCAGAGATCAGGAGAGGGGGAAGGAACAAGCCCGAAGGAGCTCGAGGGTCGTGCGTTTTTGCGCTTGACACAATTTAACTGTGGTTTCCTCCGCACTGAGCTGTGGCACGGGAGCAATGGGCTGGACTACATCCCAGTCCCAATTATAATCCTCATTAGACAGAGCATAAGCACTTAATAATCACTCCAAGATCATATGGGTAAAAAGAGGATTATTAGATAAATCTTTACTTTTATTAACTTATTTTTAAAGTCCTTTCCATGCCTCTGCCTGGTGTTACCCACAAATCCCTGTCCAGATGCTCCGTGACACAACCACCTGGAATTCTCATTTTGCATCTCAGCGCTACATTTTGGCAATTAAAAGGAAAAATAGAAATTATTTGCATTAAGCACCATTTCCATATTCCCTGAGGGCAGAGAACACAGTGTCTGGAGATCGGCAGGATGGGTTTGGGTTGGAAGAAACCACCGATGTGTGGCCAGGAGGATTTCTGATGCCCAGCTCTGAGCAACAGGGTGGCGGAGAGGTGACGCCAGTGACAATGTACCAACACACAGAGCCTCTCTGCCATCGTTGGCCAAGCCCAGGATGTGCCACACTCCCAGGGAGGTGTGGGGAGGTCACCATGGAGTCACTTTGTGCCAGCATCTACGGCAGCATTTCATATCAACACATCAAACCATCGGAAAGGACTGGTCTGCATCTTCTGCAGGAACACGGTCAAGGAGTGTCTTCCTCACCTTAACACCAGTGAGACCTCAAACACCAAGCTTTTGGTTGCTGTCACCTTCATTTGGCAAATGCAGCCTTTTTTATTGATTATTTTGAGGGCAGTAGGTGTTTCTTTTTGTGATCAACTTCAGGAATAAATCTGCAGAAGCCAGTGGGATTATTTTTAAGCAGGAATTATCCAAGGAACAACCCTTGTTGGCCAAATCCAACTGCAGAGCCCATTGAGGACAGGCACAGCCTCAAGACCACAAAACCTTCATCAGAGCAAGGATATAGGTCCAGCAAAACCAAGTCTCTGCAGCATAGTTTGTATGAACAGCACCATTTTTTCCATTAATTTTCCATTAATTTTCCATTATTGCTAAGAATTAGAGGGTTTTGCATAATAAATGTGTATTGATGACAGCAGAAAAAGTCAATCATCCAATTTTCTTTCCTAAAATGCTTGACAGTGTTCCTTTAATCCAAGTTCACAAACAAATCCAGTTCTAACACGCAGTTCTATTAGACCATTTCAATCCTCATTGATAAACTTAGTGATAAGAAGAATTAAAAATCAAATTATTGAAGAGTTCCACCCTTCAGCTAAGTACAGCTTGCCTGATCCTGGCTTCCTTCATTTGAGGAGCGTTGGCAGCACTGTAAGAAGGCACTCAGGCAGAACACAAAGGTACCAAAGAAAATTCACAGTGACACCACTTTGCTGCTCTTCACCTTCAAGCTAACGAGGACAATCACACAATCACCAAAAGCTGCACTAGGAGGGTATCAGGAGCACGAGAAAAGAAGAGTCCAAAAAGCCAGCAAGAAAGAAATGCTGATTATCCTTCCAGAAGCATCTGCTTGGCATGGAGGAGACAACCGAAAGGATGATGTGGAAAGGAAGCAGAGCAAAAATTCGCACAGCTGCTTAGACATAAGCAAGGGATTTTTCCAGAAAATCCCTATTGGGTATTGCAAGCGTAAAGCACAAGAGATCCAGTTGGAGCTCAGACAAAGAGTGCAAAGAACCTTTAATTAAAATAAGCATGTTTTGGGTATTTCCCTGCTCCCTCACTTCACCTGCCTGATGGATGGGGAAAGGACCTCAGAAACCAAGAAGAGGCAGCACATCTTGAAAAAATATCTGTACAAATATTAAGTGTGTTCATGTGGATGACTGTGTGAGAGAGGCTCTTCTTACTCTACCATCATTTTGTCAGAAGCTCCACATCTGTGGGGAGGTAGATGCTCAAATCTGGCTAATTAAAGCCATCAAGGTTTGATAAAAAACAAAATAAACCTCCAACATGTGCTGCCTTTGGTTCTCTTGTTCTGTTTATCAAGATGAGAGAATTTTACTGATACTTTAATAAACTCACAAATGTTTTCTGCCATAGAGGCAAAGCATCACTTTGGGTCTTTTCTGCATTATTTTGGAGAGAAGAAGGGGAATTCCAGCATCTGGCAGTGGATGCATCTTGCCACACCAGCCCATCACACTGTCCTGACACTGGCTGAGCCCTCTGCCCGTGTCTACCTCTTCCTCAGCCACCGGCTTTGGTGACCGGATTTTGGAGGAGAACAATGGAACAGGGGATGTTCCACACCAATGGCTGTAAGGTCACACCAGCAACAAAACACTGAAAACACTGCTACTGATCTCAGCTTGCTAAGTGTGACCTGGGCAAAGTAGAATCCCAGAATGGTTTTGAGTTGGAAGGGACCTTAAAAATCATCCAGTCCCACCCCGTGCCATGAGCAGGGACACCCTCCACTACAGGTCGCTCTGAGGCCTGTCATGCTTGGACATGGTGGGTAGCTCTCCAAGAGGGCAAGGACAGTGATCCCAGCTCTGCCACTGCCTGTAGGCTAAGTTTTCTCCACAGATAAGGTATACCTCAGTATGGAATTCAGATTTAGGTAATCCCACTAGTGCTGCCTGCATAATGGAGACTTTCTCATGACTTTTTCCCAGTTTGATGCACATGGAAGCTCAGGGTATAAATGACCTGAGGATTGCTGGTAAGTTTAAGACAAACCTTATCCAGCTTTCTGAGGGGCTTGTTTTTCTTTGACTCAAAACCCAGAGAGTACAAAGCACAAAGCCATTTGAATACAGGCTAAAGGACATGGACAGATAATGGAGCAGCACCATGAAAAGGTTTAGAAATTCAGCCATAACCATGTATTGTTTAATTTTGGTACAGAAAGAGAAGGTGATGCAAGAACTGAGTCTCAGAATTGTTTCAAGACCTCCTGGACTCATCCAGTTATATCTATATATCTATAATCATGTACGTAGGATCATATCTATTATATCTATTGATATAGATAGATATAAGCAAGTTACCACTACAAACTCTGGACTGAGAAGTGAGAGTGAGGAGATGAGCACGGCAGTGTGCAGGACCAGTTGCCAGAGATACAGAAGTGAAGCAGGGCTTGAAATCAGCTCTTAGTTCCTGAGATTGAATGATTTTTTCTTATCTTCCAGATTACCTCATTTGAGTTCAGCCTGGGGTTTATTCAAGATGAAAATGCAAAGATGGATTTTGGAAACCACCTCTTTGGAGTGGCCTTTCTCCCAACGCCAAACATCTTTGCCATCTCCCTCTTCGGTTACTGTGTCCAAAAATGCTGCCTTGATGTGCCAGACAGACCCAGGCTCAAGAGAATCGGCTCTTATGCTGCATCCAAGAGGTGTCAGAGAAAGAACCCCAAGTGCTGAAAGCTGATTTTTTTGCCTCCTGCTCTTCTTGGGATTTGCTCCCAAGAAAATTTTAATTCTGCTTGAAGAGTTTGCATCCCTATGCTCTTTGTCCCAGGCTCCCTCACACTCCACGATGCAAACCTCACTGATTACAAAGTAATTCATGATGCAGCTCTGCGTTTAATTTTAACCCAGCTGACATTTTCCCTGCTGAGGCTCTAATTCCATCACGGATTTCAAGCCCTCTTGTGCCCAGAAATGAACAGTAATAGCTTGTACCCGTCTTTCCGAAATTGCTTTATGCAGAGAAATGGTCTAAAGGCACAGTCAGGTCTTGCCTGCCACAGCATGATGATGCACCATCACTTTCCTTTAATTTAATGCCCCTGTGATCCGTGGTTCTGGATGGCTGCAAAGGAATGAATTTTGCTAGACAAGAGATATGCTCTCCTGCAGCTGAAAATGTGAACAGCTTGGAAAATGACAGGAAGATTTATTGCCTTTTTTTGTTTCCAGATGTAACCAACAGTTCAAGAATTATTATAAAAATAATTTGCTTTTTTTGCTGGATAATTTATTTGTCTCTGTTTGAATGACTTGGGTTTTTCTATCCATGCATCCTACAAAAAGGAAAAATTAAAGCAGCAGTAAAATGAAAATATTTCCTTATGATATGTTAAAATCCAAATGGTACCTTTAAATGTGACTTCCACAAGAAACCTACCTGTTATTTCAACGAGTTTTCTAATAGATTCAGAGCTCCTATTAAGTCAGGCTACTTAAAACACAGTAATAACACATTAAACCCAAACTGCCAGTGGAGAACAGGCTCCAGACCAGGTGATGAGCACACGTACCAGTTTTCTTCTCCACGTATCGTTTTCCAGCCTCCCTAAAGGCAACCATAGCCCTGAAAAAGGCCCTCAGGACGGCCCAGCGGAAAACAGCCACGGGATCAATCCCGATCATCCCACAGATAAAGGCGTTCTTGCTGCTCCGCAGGAGAGCAACGATGTCTGGGCGCATGTGATCCGTGTTCTTCTCTCGGAAATCCTAGGGAAGGAGGAGGAGGAAAGAGGAAAATAAACAATATCCACACAGTACTCCAGGTAGGATCTTCCGGGCTATCTCTGGGCCAGCACAACTATTGAATCCTGTTTCTTTTTTCTCTCCAGCTCCCATATCAGATAGCTCTTGATGACCATCAGCTCTGATGCTTATCACGTGCATTTCTTGCATCAGAAACAGGATGAGAGATTTACGGCTACAAATCCTGAGGCTTTTTCTCACACAGGCTCATCTGACCACCAGAATTCCTTCTGCTAATAACTGGCATGAATAGAAAGAGTCAACTTTGGAATCATTCATGTGGGATTCCAGAAAGTATCTGTGGCAGTGGGATGCTGAGACCTAAGCACATATAACCTGTATTAAAAGTGGCTAATGAAGAGGAAAACACTGGGTTTTCTAGACAAACCAAGCCCAGAAAGGCCACCAGACACCCAAGTTCAACTTGTCATTCAGGTGTAGCACTGAGCTCACTGCGTATCCCTAAATTCTTCCCGAAATGCTCACGTGGAGGAAAACGGGAAGATCCTGTCCCTGTCACATTTTCATTTCCCCAAAAACTTCTCTCCTGACCATCCCATCTTCTTGGGCCAAGTCCTCTCCAAAACATCTCTGTGGAGCCTCTGGGGCTTCCCTTCCCAATCCCTGATTTAGATGAAAGCAACTGCCAGGGAACAGCTGGGGGACAGACCTTGACTCCGTACTTCACTTTGCCCGCGTAGTGTCTGATGATGAAAGCTGGCTCCATCACTGCTGGGAATTCAATGTAGGAGTTCCCTTCGTGTTGACGCTTGAATTTGTCCAGCAGTGTCTGGTTTGTGGCTTGAGGAAAACTGAGTGGAGAGAATTGAAAGGAAGAAACTGTAAACCCAACGGGAAAACTTTTCCACTTCTTTCTTGGCCACAAAAGGGAAAACAGAGACATTCTGAGCTTCCACTTCTCAGTCTGCTTCAGCAGAGCCTCTTGGTAAGAGAAAGCCAACCCTCCATCCTCAAACTTCATGGAAACCTGCTGCATGGGAATGTATTTCACAACTTTACCCAACTGAAGTTGATTTATCCCAGAACAGTATCACTGGGAGAGCATCACTGCTGCTCTCCTGTCAAAGAGACAAGAAGTGGGAGATAAACCTGCAAAGGCAAATGGTGGGAGAAGACCTCATGCCCCTGGCCATGTGTATCTGAGGAGACCTCAGCAAAACCACCTGGCCTTTCCCTGCCTTTCCCAGGGAGGAAACTGGCAAGAGCATCTGATGGGAGAAAGGTTCTGCTCCAAAGTTTCCACACCAAGGCAGCCCCAGAAGCCACACGTTCACCCAAGAACTTCTCCCGAGACAGATGGATTCAACCAAGGATGCAAACCTGAGCCAAGTCCCTGATGCCCATAAAACCCTGTGGAAATGCAGCCCCTATGGACAAGTGACCTCACTTCACTCTGGTTCAATTTTTACCAGTAAATTGATAAATCCACCTTATATCTCAATAACAGCACCTACACATCCTGCTTCAACTCATGGTCTTGGGTTCAGTACCTTCACGCTGTCACACCCCATAGGGAAAGAAATGAAGAGAGAAGCAAAGGAAACCTTTTTTCTTCCTTTTAATCGAATAAATTCTGGAAAGGAATTTTAATTATTATTTTTTAAGGCTTTTAGCTCAGCTGGCTGATTCTCCACTCTGTGTGTTGCCACCTCAAAAACAACACTAGAAACACCAATCAGCCCAGAGAGCTATTAGCACCTTTCTGGGAAGTTGTTTTTTCCCAGAAAGCTGAAGAATAAACACATTTTAACTGAAAAACCAAATTTAATTTCCAAAGCCAGCATTTTCCTACTCACTTGCTTTCCTCATCCAGCAGATGGAGCAGCCCTGTTGGCTTCTTGCTGATCAGGTTGATGCAGCTGGAGTTGTCTATGTAGTCGATGTTGTGCCAGCTAATTCCTTCTGCTCTATATTCCTCCTAAAAAAACCCCAAAGCCCCACAGATGACATAATGATGATTTGGTGTAAGCAAAAACAAAAGAAAAAATCCAAAGGGTTTTGTGAAAACTGATACACCATTTACCAAAACAGACATCCTGTAAATAATGCATCAATGCTTCCTGTGATTCCAAAGAAAAATATAACCTCTGGAGCAACCTGAAACAAAACAAAGCACAGAGCATTTCCCAATTTCAGGTGCACCAGAAGTTTCTTTGGACATGGGGTGGCTGTGTGGGGGTCCAAGCCTGCCAAGAACATCCAGCGTGTGTGGACTCCCCCTTTCCTTTTCCTGTATTGCCTCTTAATCACAGCACAGTTTGGGCTGGAAGAGACCTTAAAGCTCTTCTCGTTCCCCCCCTGCCATGGACAGCAGCAACTTTCACTACCCCAAGCCCTGTCCAACCTGGCCTGGAACACTTCCAGGGATGGGGCAGCTGTAGCTTCTCTGGGCACCCTGTGCCAGGCCCTCACCTCCCTCACAGGGATCAATTTCTTCCCAATATCCCATCTAACCCTGCGCTCTGGTACCATTCTCCCTTGTCCTGTCCCTCCATTCCTTGTCCCCAGTCCCTTCCCAGCTCTCCTGGAGCCCCTTCAGGCCCTGGCAGGGGCTCTGAGCTCTCCCTGGAGCCTTCTCCTCTCCAGGTGAGCCCCCCCAGCTCTCCCAGCCTGGCTCCAGAGCAGAGGGGCTCCAGCCCTTGGAGCATCTCCATGGCCCCCTCTGGATTCTCTCCAGCAGCTCCACATCCTTTTGATGCTGGATCCCAGGGCTGGAGGGAGCTCTGCAGGTGAGGTTTCACCTGAGGGGGGCACAAGGGCAGATTCTCCTTCCCATGCTTTGGGATCTGAGGGGTTTTGGGGTTCTCAGTGATTGTGGCTGAGTCATGTGGAACTTCCCACCCATCAAAGTGTCACACAATTTGCATCAATTAATATTTAGTATTCAGTTGCTGGAAGAAAATTGTGCTACAACACAGTAATTACACAGAAAAAGCAGCAAAGCTCCCTTTCCTACTTCCGTATCTCCCGCTATTCATGGCTGCTGCTGTCTGGGCTAACAAAGAGACCCCCAGATAGCCAAAGCCACTGCTCCAAGACCAGCAGAACCACCACCCTCTACAATAAAAGTGAGGATCTGCCCTCTTTTTCAAGCTCAGGCAAAAAAAGCTCTTAATTTCCACCAAAATAGTTCTAACCCTTCCTCTCCTACAAAGGTTATCTCCCCTGAACATGCTTGCAACAGATTACTTCAAGAAGTCTTATGCAGAATTATTTTAGGGCATCTAAATGAAAGTAGAGTTTAAAAATAATATTTTTTATCATATGTTTGAGGACTTGTGACCCAATGTCTAACATGCATCTTACTCCACGTGTTGGACAAAGTCCTACTGATCCAGCTGCCTTTTTACTTCTCTATCACAGGACATTTTGATGTCAGAATTGAAGATAAAAAGGAAACCGGTTTCAAAATCCTAATAGGCTGCATCTTTCTAACAATAATCAGATTCATTATAATTGCTGCCTCTGTCTTTATTTTTAATATGAACAAACAACTTTAAAAGAAGTATGCCCATCCTCATCCAAAATTAACATGAACTCCACAGATATTCTTAGAAATAAAGAGCCTGAAGAGCTTTGAGACATTTCACAAGGAAATTTTTGCTAAAATAACCCCTAGAATGTCTTGATTTCAGTATTGGAGACATTGTATAATCTTACAACAACAATACAGACAAATACAGATGTGTGTGCTACCTTAGGAGGAATTTCTAACGTCCCTAAAGCCTTTGGGATTACAAAATATACAACATCCCATTGGGAAAAAAAATCCAGAAAATAAGGAATGGCTCTGCATTATGAATTTTGTTTTCTCCTTTTATTTTTTAATCTTTTACCTTCAGCTCTTGCCAAGCAACCAGGACACAGCAGAACCTCACAACAACACTCTCAAGTCCCTGCTGAACTACAGGCAATGAAAAATCACAGATTGGATTATAACTCATGGCACTTCCAGGGCAAGCCAGGAAAAAGCTTCTATGCAGCAATCGCAGGCTGCGTATTTCAGAGCAGGCATGAGCTGCTCCCGAGGGATTTCCCAGAGAGTCACTGGGATTCAGCACCATCCATCAACTGCCTACTTCCAACAGCCCCTTAATGGAGTGCAGGGTCCATTAGGCCCAGCTTTGCCAGCTCAGGACTGCTCAGGAGCATGTGGTGAGCAATAAAACCTTGGTGCGATGAGCCAAGAGCAGCATTATTTCAGTGGTGGCAGGAGGGTGTTAGCAGGTTTTATATTTATTATCACAACTCTTTGTTGAAGTTCTTGTTGGGGGGCTTTACATATTTTGCCCCCCGAAACCCCATAAATCATGTAGAGTTTTACATCTCCACACATCTAAGCTGAGAAACCATTGCTCTAGAAGGCCTCCAGACACCCACAATTCCACACGGGACACTCAGCAGCTGCACAGCAAATGTGCTGTGAAACTCCTCTGGCCACACAAAAAACTTACACTGCTGCTGGGATCAGTGCAAAAGCACTAATCAGCAATGCCAGATATGGAGTTTTTAGAAATAGTCTAGTAAATGACCAAAAAAGACCAGAGTCCAAGGTCTCTACTTCTCTGGACTAATTTTCAGCGGTTCCCCAGACCTGATGGTCAGTCATCAGGTCCCTCCTGGCTTCATTCCCTTCAGCTGTGGGATTTTGGCTAATTCTCCCTCCTCTGCTCCTTTTTTCTCTGAGCTGGGTCAGAAACACTCACTCCCAGGCTCTGGGGTTCTCCCCTCCCTTCCATCCCCCACACAACCTGTTCCCACTCTGGCCAAATGGGAAGAGGGATTCAAGTCATCAACAAACAACCTTTTCCACAATAATTCAGAGATTTGCTCTCGTTTCAAGACAGGCAGCAGGAACTATTCCAGAGCAACTGCTCCAAAGCTTAAATGAAGATAAATTCCCCTTACTCCTTTTTTCCTAGCATTTTCCCAGTTTTTCATTTGGGATTGCCTTCAGAATCTCAGCTCAAGGGATACAACTATGGCTTTGGGATGGCCTGATGTAATTTCTGCAGAACACCCTGCACACTGTCCACAAAAAGACAAGAAGCTAGAGAATAAAATCATTGCTGTCTATTTAACTTAATTAAACTGCAGCAGTTAATATTCCATATGATTCCTATATTTGTTTTCCAATGACCACCTTCCTGCAGAATTCAGGAGATATCCTTACAAGCTACCTCCAAAACATTCCTTCATCTGTGAGTATGACAACAAAGCCCCTGCCATCCTTTGATGGATGCAGGGTCCTGGAGCACTGGAATATTAAGGAATTCCATTCAAACAACATGAGGTTTCCATTTAACAAGACAAAAACAACATGAAACACTTTCAGTCCAATAAAAAAACAAAACCAAAAACACCCTCAAGCCAGAGGTTGATTAAAAATCACCTTAAATGCATACCTTGATTTAAAACTAAGTTTTGTTTAGGCACACATTCAAATATCCTATTCCTGGAAGATCATCTTTACATTAAGAACCAAATTGTTGACATTGCCACTATCTGCAAAAGTTTCTAGTGCAGTGAAGTCCACAGACCCCCACTTTTGGCATCCTTTCTTGCAATAAAAACTTAAGGATTTACTCCTCCCATCCCTGGATACCTGAAACCTGATCTGCTGGAAAGTGAAGTGATGCAAGTTCACTGGAGAGAAGAGCACTGAGCTCCCAAACTTGGCAAAAGAAATGGAGCAAAGAACTGAAAAAAGACATTAGGGGTTTTTTCAGTGTCCAGCAGTTCCATATTTTCATTTAATTATTGGGTGAGATGCTACAGATTGTTCTCCAGGTGACCTCTATGGACCCCATGAGGAAATTCCTGCTTCCCAAGTGTGAATTCAGAAACAGCTTTGCTGCCCTAAGCATGGAGAGAGACCTTGGCAGTATGTCAGCACAGGGTCACTGAAAGGATCTGAATAAAACACAGTTTATGATGTTCAAATATATTAAGAAAAGATATAAAGTGGGGATGCAGACTTTGAAATGCACGTGGAATATGAGAGTAAATCTTTACTCTCATGCAGTGTTAGCTGAGGAAAGGCAGCATGTAAAATTTGGGGTACCAAACAGAGTGGGGCAGAATATCCAGCATTTTTAAGTAGGAAAATTACTGGAACTCTAGGAAAGGGGAAGCTGTTAAAACTCTGTTAAAGAGAAACTCTGCCTGCCTACACTGACCCAGAGCACGAATGCTGCCCATGGCACAGAATAATGAATTTAAAATTAAAACACACATGCTGAGCATCAGGAAAAGCCTTCCCAACTGGGCTGCAAGGCCTGATGGAAACCCTCCTGCTAGGAACAGAAATATCCTGTAATTTTATAGTTGGAGTTGTTGAGAACCAAGTCCTGTTATCTCTACAGGAGTGTTGGACCACTTCTGTTATCAGGACTTTATTTTGGTGCTAAACCAAACCAAAACACTCTAATCCAGGGCAGAATTAGAAATTTCTTTATCCTGAGTGGGAGAAAACACCCACAAGCCCAACAAAACCTTGGAGATGCTGGAAAATGTCTTTACACCTCCACATGTGATCATCAATTACTCTGTACCCAGCCACAGTCATCACTAAATAAACACAAACACTAGAAAGTGTAACTAGGGGAGAAAAAGTTAAAAATTATTTTTAGACTCACACTTATCTAGACATGGCATCTGTGATAAATATGGTATCTAAGTAAGATATCTAAGCTCCCTTTGGAGTATCATGGTTCCTGGGTGCTGCTGCTACCCAAAATCATGTGGTAAAATTCAGAGGTGGGGAGGGAGAGACCAGGGGCTTGAAAAACTTCAGAGAAGAGGAAATGCAGAGATTAAATGAAACTGGAGACATGATAAAAATACAAACTAAAAATCATAATAAATTCCCTCTCTGTCTAAAAGCACAAAAGTCAGGGCTCAGGAAAGTGAAATCAA